GATCCGGATATGGTAGTGAAAAGAGCAGCGGACCGGATTGCCTCCCTGGCCGACTGGCTAAGAGCTCTGTTTCTTAGTCGGGAGGTCCCGTCGCTGGGTCAGGGGTTCGATCCCGCTGGCTCGATTTTCAATTTCTTTTCTATTTTTGGTTTTTACCACATTATTCCTTTGAATAAATGTATTTTTAAATTCTTTAGATTCTTGTGGGAAATGAGAGCCTCACTTACGAAATGGCCAAGTCACAAATGAGCATTTGGTGTATTTGGAGTGCTCCGTTGTTGATGTAAGTGTTTAGACTTTGAAAAATAGAAATTTTCATTTTAAAATGAGCATTTTATGAATAGGTTATTGTTTGTAGAAAGTTTTGCATAAAATTTTTTTCCGTAAATCGTTTCATTTTTGAATTTAGATCTGTAGATCTTCGCATTTTGAAAGCTGAATATCGAGAGATTTTATTGAATCGAAAAGCGATCGCAATCGATCAAGATCCAATGGGGAAATTCGGGAAAATGGTGCAAAAGGTTGATTGCGATTGCGAAAATTTCTAAAAGAAAAACCAAACATTTTGATAAATTGGTGAATTGAAAACTGCGGGACTTTGAACTAAAATTTTGAACTAAATTTATTGAACATAAAACCATGAATTCATTCCAAATAATTTCCATTATTATTGACGACTTCTGCCCATTTTACAGGCAATTTGCGGGTTCCTCTTTCGTAGTAGGATTTTGGTTTTGAATCGAAAAACTTTTCGAGCCAATTTTTGACCGCTTCTTCCGAATCGAAGTGTTCTCCCGCAAGCCAATTACTCATGGTCCGGAATAAATAGTAATCAGAAGGAGAAAGGTCCGGACTGTATGGGGGATGCGCCAAAAGTTCCCAACCAGGGTTGTTTATTTTAGAGCGAGTCAGTTTTGCAACATGAGGGCACGTGTTGTCTTGGAGGAGAACGAACTTTGACTTGGAGGGCCTATTCTTCTTCAAGGATTCATTCACCTTTTCCAACTGTTCACTGTATTTGATTGCATTAAGAGTCTTCTTGCTATCCAGCAGCTCTCAGTACATCACTTCCTCCATATCCCAAAAGCGTCATTTGTTTCAATATTTTGGGCTATTTGTCTAGATTCTAACCATTCAAATTTTCAGCAATTTAGATTCATAGATATATTGGGTTGGTGCATTGAAAACTGCCGGACTTTGAACTAAAAGTTTGAACTAAATTTATTGAACATAAAAGCATCAATTCATTCCAAATAATTTCCATTATTATTCACGACTTCTGCCCATTTTACAGGCAATTTGCGGATTCCTCTTTCGTAGTAGGATTTTGGTTTGTGTGTGAGACAAGTGTGAGACTCGAGACTCAAAAATGGAGGACTGGAGATGTCCCAGTGTCCCAGTTTAAGCACTTTCTTCAAAAGAAACCCATTTTGGTGTCAATAGAAAAGTTGTAGAGAATCAAAAATTAGGCTTATAGTCAAATTTCCAAAAAGATACACTTAGTAGTTTCGCTTAAAATGCAAGTTTTGTGAAAATTCGTAAATTTGGCATTTCTTGAAAGCCAGTTTTTGAATCGTTCTGAAAATTTGGATATAAGCTTGATTTTTGATTCTCTACAACTTTTCCATTGACACCAAAATGGGTTTCTTTTGAAGAAAGTGCTCAAACTGTCACATATGACAATAGCCCGCAGTTTTCAATTCACCAACCCAATATTTGAAATTACGCAGGATGGTGATGTACGTGTTTTTTTGAAAACAATTCATCCAATTGATCCGCTCACGAATGAAACTTCGTACGCGATTGCTGTTTTCAACAAAAATCCAAAGCAAGAAAAGGTGAAATCTTCAAGAGACATAATTTCTGCGTTTTTAAATCTTTTGAAAGCTTTTTGACTTGAGTTGAAACGAAAAATGAGCGGCATTTGTATTGTCGTGTATGTAAACGCATTTTCAGTATCACCAATTCACTCTCGCTTCGCTTGGCATCAAATCGAGTCTCGGGAAATTGAAAGTTGAAGAGATTTGGAGTAAAAAAGTGTTAGGGATCGTCGAAATCGATGCCACGATACAGGCAATGTTTTAAAAAATAATTTCTGAAAAAAACAATCGGCTAAATGTTTTGCTGAGAGTCACAAAGAATCTCTAAACTTTAATAACAATTTAAGTGCTCATTTTTAGGTGAAAACAAATCCAGCGGGGACACTTCTCTTCACGGCTAACATTGTAAAGAATCTTGAGAACTATATTTCGTAAAACAAGTTCAAATTTGATTTTAGAGGTGATTATTAAGCTTTATACTATTGAATAAAAGCTTTAAATGAGCATAGAATGACCGATTTTCTAAAAGACATTTATTTTAGAGAATTACTGCAATTAAACTTCAGTCAGTGATGCAAAAATTCGAATCATATAGAAAGATTATATAGAAAAATCATATAGAATCAAATAGAATCAAATAGAATCATATAGAATCATTTAGAATCATCTAGAATCAAATAGAATCATCTAGAATCATCTAGAATCATTTAGAGTCATCTAGAATCATATAGAATCATCTAGAATCATTTAGAATCATATAGAATCATATAGAATCAAATAGAATCATATAGAATCATCTAGAATCATCTAGAATCATATAGAATCATTAGATAGAATAGACCGAACATAAAATAAAAGTTTTATTAAAGAATGGGCCGAATTTAGATTGATTTTTGACTAAAATTATCGAAAATATAGAAGTATCAAGAAAAAGATCGCATTGTTCTCTTCATTTCATTCATTTTGCTGCTTGTTTTAGTAACACAATGGTTTTAAAAGATATGGAATTTCTAGCAAAAAATACAGCTAATTTAAGGCAAAAATTCTCTCAAAAATTTGGGCATAGTGACGCCAAAAAAAGGCGAGGTCGGCTCAGTCGATCACTCGAAAAAAGGGAAACTTTCTATACCGGAGTCCAGTCCAGATGTCAGATGCCAGATTTGAATTGATTCATCGATTTTCCATGGACGTTGTTCACAATTCGACGGTTTCTTCGAGGAATTACCCTCGGCTTTGAGCCCTTTGAGCATTCGACGTCTAGGACGTCGAAACAACTTCTTTTTTTGAAGATATCGACGAAACAATATTCATATTTCTTGTTCTTTTTCTTTTTCTAGTGCATTTTCTCTAAACTTTCGTATAGATTTCTTTTTCTTTTCTAAAGGAATTTCCCTTGTTTTCCCTTGTTGCTAGGTGACCGTTTTTCCCCAAAATCAAAGCTTTTCTTCGTTAAATTTTTCTGCATTTCTCTCTTTTTTCAGTTATTTTTATATAGAATCCTTTTTATAAAGCAAAGTATTCAAAAATTATCCAAAAATTGTAGTTTAGAATAGATTTTATTTAGAATTTAACCTTTTGTTTTGTCGGCAAAGGAAATTTCTCCAGGAAATTTCTCCAGGACTTCTGAAAATAGTCTAAAACTTATTTACTCTTAAAAAAACCTAAAATTTAGCTAAATTTAGCTAAATTTAGCATAATGGATTAGATAAAGCCTCCTGTTTTACATCAAAATCTAGGAAAACCGCTGTCACTTTGTGGGAAATTTTTGACGAAATCGTCAATACATTGAGGGAAAAAGAGTAAGATAAAACTTTATTGGGATAAAAAATAAAAGAGTAGAGTAAAATGATTTCTCTCCCCTTTTCCCTCTCAAATGTTTCATGGATTTTTCCCCCTCTCTTTTCTGTTGTTTATCCCAATAAAGATTTCTTTGCAACTACTCGTCGAGAACTCTCTCTCTCTCTCTCTTTTTCTTTATTCTTTAAAAAAATCACGAAATTCTTCTTTCCCCAACAAAACTCGATCTCGATTTTCCACGCCTGTTTACGCGAATCGCTTTTTTTATTTTTTTATTTATTTTTAATTTATTTTTGTTACCAATTCTACATCCTGTAAAACCATTGTATTACTTGAACAGCAGCTATTAGGTTGATGCAAAAGTCTTTTTCATTTTTTTCGTACTTCCGTTAAAAAGTAACAAATGCACCAATTGAACAACGGTTTATTGCATTCGAAAGGCCAATTATTTTTCTGCAAAATGACATTAAAACGAGTTTAAAATGTCTTATGTCTAGATTTTTTTGAGAGCCAGAAGTCGGGTAGTCAAAAAAGGCTACGGCTCGATGATGCATTTTAGACGTTTTAGCTAAGGAAACCAATCTTGATGTTAATAAATAAAAGATAGAGCACAAAAAGTTAGATATTTTTTCAGATTTTCAGAGAAATTGATTCAGCCAATTTCTTTATAGAGGTTTTTATAGATTTTTATGAAAAACCCGTTTTCACTCTCGAATTTGCTTGAAAGTGAACCCAAATTGACTTAAAAAGATGGGAAATTGAACAATAAACACTTTTCATTTAGAGCAAACCATAGGTTAATTGATGACTTTGTTATTTTTCAAAAGAAGTACGAAAAAAATGAAAAAGACTTTTGCATCAACCTAATAAAATAATAAAAATAATAATGAAAGAATAATGCGATCCGCAGATTACAAATAACTAATTAAAACAAATTTAAAAAGAAAGAAAAAAAAAAGCGATTTGCGTAAATTTCTTGTAATTAGTTATTTGTAATCTGCGGATCGCATTATTCTTTCATTATTATTTTTATTATTTTAGCTGCTTTTTAAGTAATACAATGGTTTTATAGGATGTAGAATTTGTAGCAAAAGCAGTAAAGTAGCAGCAAAGCAGTAAAGTAAAGCAGTAAAGTAAGGCAGTAAACCAGTAAAGCAGTAAAGCCAAATTGGAGGCAAAAATTCATCCCAAAAAGTTGAGCATAGTGGCACCGATAGGGGTGTAGGCGTTTCAGTGGCTCACCGCTTCTTTCCCTTCCCTTTACGGATTCAGGCCAATTCGGGATGATTCCAGGATCTTCGAACTTTTCATTGCTTTTCTATGAGATTCACTGAATCATTTGAGTATTTAATATATTAAAAATATGGTCTGAAATGTATGAAACCGTTCTTAAAAAGACTCTAAAGATGAATTTGAGCCTTTGCGAAGACTTTTTCATTCGTGGCCATTCGGGCAACATTTTCATTCGTGGCCAATTCGGATCGATTCGGGCCAATTCGGATCGATTTGGGCCAATTCGGATCGATTCGGGCCAATTCGGATCGATTTGGGCCAATTCGCGGCCGTTAAGAGATCTTCGAACTTTTCACATTGCTTTTCTATGAGATTCATTGAATCATTTGATTATTTAATATGTCCTTTATGTAATCTGACATGTATAAAAGGAAAGCACTAAATACCAGAATCCTATGCCAGATGGAGAGCGATTGTGAGCGCAAAAAAAGAAATCTCTTTTGCTTTGTAGATGATATAAAAAAAGATATTTGACTGGAAATTTGTACCCGGAGATTTTCGGGATCGGCGAATCGATTGGAGATACCGTATTTTCTCTAATAGTAGTGCACCCCAGCGAGGCGAGTTGGTGACTATTTTACGGCTTTCAAAGTTCTCACAGAAGCTCAACACTCAAATCCCCCACTAGATCTCATCGTCAGCTACATTCTCCAACCCCACATCGATAGGTTCTGATAAGCGGTTCTCGAGATTTCGAGCAATTTAGACGACGCTCAAAGTGCACTACTATTAGAGAAAATACGGTATTCATTTTATTGAGTCAACCAATTGAAAAAAATAATTTTAAGTCGATTATTGAGACTATTGAGTCAATCTCTACAAATTTAACATTTCGTTTTACTTTTGAATTCACTTATAAAAATAAGATCATTGTAATGATTGACCAGTTTTGCAACTCGGATACTTTATTCAAAAATGATAAAGCCTGAAATGACAAAAATTATTCTATATGATTCTATATGACTCTATGATCAAAATGATAGCCTGAAAGATCATCAAACCCAAATGATAAATGAATCAACTCTTCTGGAGTTCTGTGGAAGTTTAATAGCAAATTACAACAATAATCTGATTCGATTCATGCATCAATAAACTTTCACACAATCCACAATTCATTCTTTCTAATCCACTTTTCACTTTCAATCTTTATTCACAATTTTCTTTATTCTTTATTTATTCTTTATTTCTTTATTTCTTTTTTTCTTTATTTCTTTATTCAATTACTTCAGTTATTCAATGAGTAAACTCATTTTTACTGACGTTTCACTCAGTTCCGAGGAAATGGACAATGAAAAATGATCGCCAATCCACCAAATGTTCCCAAAAAAAAAACCACAGCGACAAAATATTACAGCACTCACACTTGTTCTGTTCGTCTATCTTTTAAGAAAGCGTCAAAAGCGATCACTTTTTCTATCCATTTTTTTCCCAAAACCTTTTTTCTTTCTTTATGTGCCAAATGGACACTTTAAATTCATTCAATAGATTGATTATTTTGTCGAAAATTTCGTCAGAAATTCCTTTTTCTCTAATAATTATAAAGTTCTGCTTTTGTTATTTGCTTAAAAACCTTTCATTTTTCGAATTTCTCTCGAAAATTCTGCCCACAATTTTCCCAGTGATCAACAAAATTTTCCCGATAACTTTTGCACTTTTTGTCTAATTATTTCCATGGCAACGATTGAAAATATTATCCATTTTCTTTTCTTTTTTTAAAATCTAATATATTTGTGTGGGTTTGTGGGCAAAAATGACCTCAATTCTTCATAATTTTCATTTCATAATCTCTAGGATTTATTCAGAAGAGTTTTTTCTTGAGCTTGAGTTTCTGTGTCGCATACTGCTTAATTTTCTTGTCTTAAGACTATACCGTAATACCTACCGTATTACGTATAAATACTGTAATAGACCCCCCAGCCCCCTCGTAAAGTCGCGTAGTCGCAAAAGTTTTTCAGTTTTTCAGTATTTAATTTTTTTCAAAACGCCCGTACTTTCAAAAAATGCGTCTTTGGTATCAGCTGAAATAACTGAAATTCAAGGCTAAATTGCAAATTTTCTGATAAACCGTAGTTTCGTTGTCAGTTTTCATTCGATTAACTCAATTTTGAGCCCAATTGATCAAATTTTGTTATTCCTTTGTTAAATGTGACTAAAATTCAGCTGATCAAATGGAAATCGGCGGTCAGATTCTAGTAGTTTTTGTTTAGAGAATTTGAAAGAAGCTAAAGAAGCCCCCATAATCTAAACTGCTTTCAAAACGTTCCCTAAATCGTTCTCAACTCTCCAATAGCTTCTTTAAGTCCTCAATTCACTCATTTCATAATCTCTAGGATTTATTCAGAAAAGTTTTTTCTTGAGCTTGAATTTCTGTGTCGCATACTGCTTTATTTTCTTGTCTTAAGAGTATACCGTAATACCTACCGTAAATACTGTAATAGAACCCCCCAGCCTCCTCGTACAGTCGCGTAATCGCAAAAGTTTTTCAGTATTTCATTTTTTTCAAAGCGCCCGTACTCGCAAAAATGCGTGTTTGGTATCAAAAAATAGCCCTGAATTTCAGCTATTTTTTAATACCTAAGCGAACATTGTAGCATAAACCAGTGTCGAGAGGCAGTCGTTCAAAGCTAGACTACGCAACGCTCCGCACCGTCATTATGGGGGTGGGATACTTGACGTCAAGCGTCAATTGTTTTAAAAGTTTCTCTCACAACAATAAGCTTAGCAACGCTTGTTTAGATCCGAACAACCTACCGTAAATACTGTAATAGAACCCCCAGTCCCCTCGTACAGTCGCGTAGTCGCAAAAGTTTTTTAGTATTTCATTTTTTTCAAAGCGCCCGTACTTTCAAAAAATGCGTCTTTGGTATCAAAAAATAGCCCTCAATTTCAGCTATTTTTTGATACCTAAGCGAACATTGTAGCATAAACCAGTGTCGAGAAAAACTCGTTCAAAGCTAGACTACGCAACACTCCGCACGGTCATTATGGGGATGGGGTACTATTACAGTATTTACGGTACGTAATACGTAATACCTACGTAATAAGTAGACCTTAAACTATACCGTAATTATTCGAATCGACTGCCCCCCTATAATGACCGGAGCGTCACGTAGTCGAACTTTAAGCGTTTCGTTCGCAGCGCTGTTTTATGCTACAGTGTGCGTTTAAGTGTTAAACGATAGCCCAAAATCTCAGCTATATTTTGACACTAAATATGTAGTTTAAAAAAATAAGGGCGCTTAGAAAAAAATGAATTATGGAAAAGTGAAAAAATTTTTTCGACTAAGCGACTGCTTCGATAAGAATAATTACGAGAAGTTAAATTCAAACTTGTTTATATCTAAAGCTTCTTATAAATTCCCCATGTTTACAGCTCATTTTTCAACTTTTTTTTTTGTTTACCACGTCATCGTCAACCGGTTTTGCATTCAAAATTTCGGGGTTGAGTAAGCGGGTGAGGGTTCAGTGAAACGGGTAATCCGTTCGGCCTTTCACACAAAAAATGTTTCCAATTTTTCACCTCATTTCCCGATTTTTCCTAAAGTTTCAAAGTTTATGCTCAGAATATTTCTTTAAATAATTGCTGACTTCCGACTTTTTACCCGAGAAAATCCCGGGTTGGCGCTTTAAAGTGTGGTAAAATTACCGTACCCCTTCCAATTTACAGGTATAAAAGATCATTATTTCATTGGGTATAATTCTTTTGGCGTATTTCTGCATTTAAGCGTCCTCACACTGCTCATTCTGACTCTATCTCTATCAATCATTTTTTTTCTAAGCGCTGGTTAAAGCTAAAAATTTGTTTTATATGTCAAAAAATTGCTCATTCTTTCTAACTTTAATTTGATATATAAACGAGTAGAGATAAACGTACTGGTGTCAAGATATGAGCGTTTGTTTGAGAGTAGACTTGGACTCGGCGACGGGCTTCTATTAGAGTATTTACAGTGTTTAGAAAACAAGAAAAAGAGGGAAATTTACATTTCTTTACATGGAAAAAGTCATTAGTCGTATTTCCTTTTTTTCTTAGAAATGGCCACAAGTCTTGATCATCTTTGAGCGAGTTTGAGCGACAATTGCGCCACAAATTTTACGCGATCTAGTTGACAGTATGCCCCGGACTGTCAACTAGATCTCCAAGCGGTCATTGCAGCTAAAGGCGTCAAAATATTGAATTTTTCGCCTCTAGGTCTGTGCCGCCAAAACTTTTGTCCATTGTTTTTGTGCCCTACAAAATATTGAAAAATTTGCATTTCTTTACATGGAAAAGTCATTAGTCGTATTTCCTTTTTGCTCAGGAATGGCCACAAGTCTTGATCATCTTTTTGGTGTTACTGCTTTGATGGGGAATCGAACGACGAGTACAGGTTTGAGTTTTTAAAGAAAAAAAAGTTATTTGAACCCAAAAAAAACATCTCCAAAGATCGAAAACATAAAAAAAATCAAAAGAAAAACCGAATTTTCACTTCAAAACCCAGAAATAGACCTTTTGATTTCCAGAAGCCTCAACGTCAACGCAAGACTCTCTTTTGGAATTGCTCGAAAATGAGGTGCGGGAATTGAAAAAAATGACTATAGAATAAGAGAATTCTCATAGTTTAAAAGAAAATCAAATACATAAAAGACTTTAAAAAGCTTCATGCAACAAAAGATTGAAGATCTCGAATTCGACAACGACAATCGATCCAACAAATGCACAAAATGAAACCATGTATTGGCTACCGTCGGATCTCCAACATTTGTACACAAAATTCACCCATGTTTGTGAGTTTTTAAAGGACCGAAATGCTTGCTACAGTACTCGACAATGAAATATGATATTTGAAAAACGATCGTCACTTTCGCGCGTCTGTAACTCCCTTGTCTTTGAGTTTAAACTATTAGTGTTATACATTTTCTGAAAGCTCTTTTCAACGGCTACATAATGGTAATATTAATATTTAGAAATACGGTAAAGACATAGGGACTTACAGACGCGCGAAAGTGACGATCGTTTTTCAAATATCATATTTCATTGTTCAGTAGTGTATATTCTATTTTTTACATATTAATATCTTTAGCCCATTACGAATGGATAATCTTCGGGATTCTTTTCATTGCCGTTCTTCTCATTTTAGCACTCGTCACCGGCATTTGTTGTTGGCTTTTTAAACATAAAAAGTTTGTTTTTCGAGAGAAATTTAGAGATTTAAAAGTTTCATGTAAAGTAAAAGTTGTAAAGTAAATGTAAATATAATTTTAAATTATTTTATCAGAGAAAGTTGCCTTTTTTCAGACGAGTTATCGAGCGTCATGATGAGCCGATCGTTTCTGAATACGAAGATGGATATAAATGGCCTAGGTTTGTAAAAATTGGGTAGTATGGAAAATGGTTTAAACTCGTTTAAAAAATAAATTACCAAAACTCTCTTCTGATTTTTAATCATTTCCAGATGTTTCGCTTGCTGCTGTCGAAAGAAAATGAGTCGATCACAATGGGAAAGGCAAGGATCGGCATCGAATTTGGATCCATACAAGAGGCAACCATTGCCACCGATTACTGGGCATCAATATGATGAAGGTTTGTGAGGGCAGAGATTGTATTCATCTTTAAATTTCCCTTGCTTGCTTTCCTGCTTGCTTTCCTGCTTGCTTGCAAGGGACGGGGCGCGTATAAAAGGTCCGTCGCTCCGGCCCTTCCCCATTGGCAATCTAACTTTAAGCTGAAATATCTTGGTGTTGAGCTGTTTAATTTAAATATTTTGATATCATTAGACTCGCCAAATTTTTCTCTATCGATTGGTACAAAAACTATTTAAATTCGACACCTCAGCACAAAGATATTTAAGCTCAAAGTTGGATTGCAAAAGGGCGCGTATAAAAGATCTGTCGCCCCGCCCCTTTTCCCATTGGCAATCTAAGTTTGAGCTTAAATTTCTTGGTGTTGGCCTGTCCAATTTAAACAGTTTTTATACCAATCGATAGAGAAAGACTTGGCGCATCTAATGATATCAATAATTTATAAATTGAATAGCCCAACACCAAGATACTTGAGCTGAAAGTTAGAGTGCTAATGGGAAAAGGGATGGGGCCACAAATACTTCAAAGTAGCACCTCTGATCTCTTGTTTCTGCGCATCGGTCAACCAAGAGAGATGTTTATCGATGAGTGTATTGATGTCTTTTCTTTTTCGTTTCATTGTCGTCCAATTTAAAACAGTCCAATTTAAACAAATACCAATCGATAGAGAAAGACTTGGCGCATCTAATGATATCAAAATATTTAAATTAAACAGCTCAACACCAAGATATTTCAGCTTAAAGTTAGATTGCCAATGGGGAAGGGCCGGAGCGCGTATAAAAGACCCGTCGCCCCGCCCCTTTTCCCATTGGCAATCTAACTTTGAGCTTAAATTTCTTGGTGTTCGGCTATTCAATTTGAACAGTTTTTATACCAATCGATAGGGAAAGACTTGGCGCATCTAATGATATCAATAATTTATAAATTCGACAGCCCAACACCAAGATATTTCAGCTCAAAGTTAGAAAATGGGAAAACGGCGGTATCAAATGTCCAATAGTCGGAAATACCAACTCTTTAGGCTGATAGTGAGGGAAATTTGATTTTCCAACTTCAATCCGATCACTTTTCATTTCGATTCGTTAATCGTATTGATTTTAGATGGTTACAATGGTTCCTATCTTCCGCCGAATCGTCTCCCGCCTGTTGAAAAGAAAATCCTCCATTTTCATCCAAATGACGCAACGTGGGGAATGAATATTGCAGGTAAGAGAGCAACAATTTCTATATTAACATTTCATATAGTCAAGGCATCATTTCAAACTCCATAAATCGTTTCAAATTTCAGGAATCAAAGACATTCCCTCGGTGAAAATCTCTTCGAATCAACATCGCCCGTTGCCTCAATTGGAAAAGTTTTAACATTTTAAAAAGCTTTCATTATTGAAAGGAATTCAATTTCAATTTAATTTCAATTCGATTTCAACTCAATTTCAATTCGATTTCAACTCAATTTCAATTCAATTCCAATTCAATTCAATTCAATTCAATTTCAATTCAACTTCAATTCAATTCCAATTCAATTCAATTCAATTCAATTCCAATTCAATCCCAATTCAATCCCAATTCAATCCCAATTCAATCCCAATTCAATTCCAATTCAATCCCAATTCAATCCCAATCCAATCCCAATCCAATCCCAATCCAATCCCAATCCAATCCCAATCCAATTCCAATTCGAAAACTTTCCAAATCGATTTCATTTCCATTCGGGTATCTCATTCAAGTCAAAGAATTGTTTCGTTTTTAAAAATTCTTCTCATTTCTGTGACTCCATTCCATTTGACGAGTATTTTTTGTGTGTTTAAAGCTTTGTTTTTTTCAATTCACCCCAGGTGAAGAAGTGTAGAAATAGTTTTTGAAAACTTCAAATCTATAAATATTCATCAAGAGTCACTTATCACAACCGTCAATCACATTAGGGAAAAGGCGATGAGAATTGAAGAAAAAAATTGAAGAAATGATGAAATGCTTAATCAATTCTTTCTAGAAATAACTATTTTGTAAAGATTTTTAAATCAAAATCTCTCAGTTGATCACTCAGTTGTTCTCTTTTCATAGAATTCCGTGATTTCCCCAGCAAAACGTCGTTTCCAATCGAGTTCAGCCTCAGCCGAAACAAGCTGCAATTTGATTATCATACTGGGTTAAGGAAAAAGTCCTGTCTTGTCCTGCCTGCTCGCTGCGAAAAATTCAATCCAAAAAAAGGTGATTTTTAGAGACACCAAACTTGAATTTAACTGTTTTCAGCCTGTGTCGCATAGCATTTTGATGTCAAGGTCATGAAAAATGCTATGGCTCTTCTATTCTATGTAAAATTACACGTAGATTTTATGATTTAATTGTCGTTAATGTATTGTCTTAGAAAGCCAAAAAATATATTAGACATGCGAGCTGATCGATCTGATCGATTGTCCCTGCCCACTTTCGCCTTTTTGCCGTTTTTCTCAGCTTTCTCTAAACGAATTCTAAAATCTTTAATATCATTCGATAGGAGAAAAGATTAGCTATCGAATGGTACCAAATACGTTCAGCTTTGACCAACTTTTTTTTTACTTTTTTTCAATTTGGACATAGATTGGTACAATTTGGACATAGATTGGTACCATTTGGACATATGTATTTGGTACCATTTGATAGCTAATCTTTTTTCCTATCGAATGATATTAAAAGTTTTAGAATTCGTTTAGAGAAAGCTGAGAAAAACGCGCGAAAGTGAGTGGGGCCAATCCGATTGGATCGTATGTCCGCAAAGCTTCTGTCACCGTGACCCAGTCGGGAACGCGCTTGTCCACGGCTCACACGGTCTGGGTTCGATTCTCGGGCCGTGTGCCGCAATCCTGTACTTACAGAATCTGCAACTTTGCCTTAAAATGAGAATGCAATGCTGAAAGAATGCAATGCTGAAAGAATGCAACGCTGAAAGAATGCAACGCTGAAAGAAAGCAATGCTGCAAGAATGCAATGCTGAAAGAATGCGATGCTGAAAGAATGCAATGCTGAAGGAATGCAAGAGTGCAATGCAGTTTTGCCAGACCTCTATTCTTACCTGTTTCTCGAAAGCTCCAATCTCTTTCACTTCTGGATGTTGCTCGAGGAATTTTTGGACCTTATCATTAAATGAAAACTTTTCACAAAATACCAAACAAACCATTTGTACTTGTTGTATGGTGAGTGTATCTAAACATCCGATTACAACATCATTCAATTCTCGAGGAGATGTTGAAAGACTAAAAGTGATTGATTAGATTTTTTCAGCGATCGGTATTGATCAAAGTTTTCGGTCAGAGCCGCTATTATTCTTATTCTATTTGTATTATTTCATTTCTCCGATATGTCAAATAGTCATTTTGAAACGGTTTTTTCCCTAAGAAACCTTTGAAATCGTTTACTTTTTATAGATAAAATCGAATTCCTCAAAGAAAAGCTCCAACAATTTCCCGTTGGTCACTGAATTTTGATTGAAAGCGGCAAAAACGATCTGGAAAAATGGTATTCTTAAGAAACTTTGGTACTTTCGTACTTTGGTCCTTTGGTACTTTGGTCCTTTGGTACTTTGGTACTTTGGTACTTTGGTACTTTTGTACCGTTATACTTCACCATTTTTTTCCTATGCAATACCGTTATTCCCCAAATCTACTTTTCACTATGCTAATCCAGAAGTACAATCTTGTAAACGTTTACAAGGATCATTCATTCAAAGTTTTTTCAATTCAATTTTGAATTCACATTCAATTCACAAGGATTAATGGTTCTAACGTTTCATATTGATGTGAAAGCCAATTTTCATTTCTTGGTGGGCTAAATGAAGGGCTAAATTCAATACCAACTCGAATCAGTCTTTGGATTTTTGATTGGGTTTTCAAAATTTGATTTTAGCCCTCGACACCTTTTTCCAAGATTCAAGCTCAAATGATCTTGAATCTTGATCAAATGATCGTCACGTTGCTCGATGTCGTTTTCTTCTACCTCTAAATCCTATTGAAATCTGGAACTCATTTGACTCAATATTACAAAATGAACAAATTGCGAGTTCTTCGCAGGAATCCTATCATGAGCAAAGCTCGAGGTTAGTGCTTATTGTGAGTTTTTTCAATTCATCTTAATTCAGGACATTACTACAAACTCTTCGGCTCATATGTAGCCACTAAAATGTCACCAAAATGGAAAGCTATACTGGTAAAGTATCGAAACTTTTCATATTTCCTTTACCTTAATATCTTGTTGTCGAATTTCTCGATTTTGTATATCGACTGATTTGCGGAGAATCCTGAATTTAGCATTTTTTTTCCTTTATATTTGCATTTACAAACCATCGAATCTTTTCCAAATTCTTTGAACTGCAAACAGCCGAAAGGAGTTTATTTCGTTCGGCTTGATTTGCTGAAAGTTTTTTGCGTTATGAACATTTTTTTTAATCAAGAACAAACTTTCTTTCAAATAAAGTGCCCAAGTTTTGTCAAAATCTTCATCATTTCCGACAAAAATCGCTGTTGTGTAGATGAGTTGGCGGAGAAGAGGACCGACTCTAGAAAGGAAAGAATTTCCTTAATAAAAATCAAAATTTGGTTGCAAGCGAAATTGACTCTAGAAAGGAAATTCTCTCCTCACTAAAAATTAAAATTTGGTTGCAAAATTGAAGTTTGCGGTTTGCGGAATTGAATCCGTGAGCAAAGATGGGATAGGTTTCAGAGTCTAGCACACTATCCACTAGGCCGCCGCTGCTTTTACCGCATTTTTGCGTGGCGCCCTCTTATAGGTGAGGTCGCGATTTGCTAAAAATTGCTGAGGACAAGCTTTTCTCAAAAACCAGGGCGCATAGGGAAAAAGTAAAAAAAATACGTTTCTTTGAATTCTACGGGCCCGTTTTGTAGCTACAGTGGCGGAGAATTAAATAGAATTTAAAATAAATTAAATAGAACCGATGCTCCATTTGCACAAAGACCACGAATTTTCCATTATTTTCACACCCATTCAAAAAGACATTAACAGCTATTTTTTTTGATGTTATCTTAGATTTCGATTGACACCGCTCTTAGCTGAAAGTTCTTTCTCTGTAACTTGGTAGTTTAGGTTTTCTTCAGCCTGTAGGTCCGGTTTCGAAAATCGGTGTTAAATTTAAAAAAGTTCTCTCGTTAAAGAAAACCACTCCTTAAAGAATTTCTCGTGTACTTTATGCCTAAAACTGTAAACGCAACCTTTCTGATGCACTTAATGCCCCATTTCTTTCTCTTAACAAAGGATATGTTTCCATTTTGAGCCGAAACTCAAGATCTCGTTGCCGAACCTGCTTCCCTCACCTGCTTCCCTCACTCGCCATCGCTCCACTTTCAGTTGGTTGAAGAACATTTTTGCGGAATTCATTCAAATATCTGCCCGCATTTCCCTCTCGATCCACTTGACATTCAGCTTCGATTAGTTGAAGAAAATAATGCCTAAATTCGAATGTTCACGATTTAGATTTCGAGTTTTATCACGCTTTAAAGCTAGTGATCGTCTCTCGATCTAAACGAATGATCTCGTCAAAAGAAATCCCATCAAGAAGTGGATTGAGTAGATGTTTTAGTGCTTTCTAAAAACTGGCTTTGATCCTATTTCTAAATTCTTTTTAATTAACCTTAATGAGCGCTTGTGCCGGCTCATTGGTGAATCTCTTATGGACATCTAAAAGACCATTGATCAATTGAGTGAATGGAAGGACTTCGGTTTCAATCGAAATCAACTCGTCAAATCTGAAAACAACGATGAGTTCAGAGAGTTTCGTAGTTGGGGTTGAGAAAACAAAAAAATGGTTGGCACCGGGATACGAACCCACGACCTCCGGCTTACCACGTGAACGCTCTACGAATGAGCTACACCGACAGATATCCCACTGCCGCCAAAGGAGGGCTTTATCCCTTACTTGATATTTGAACTAATATTGTCATTAGATTTTATCAATTAGATTTTGTCAATTATTTCCAACCTCAACGCCGTTTTGTATTTGATTGCTCCTTCTCGGGCACACGCAAAAAGATCGTTGATCATTTTGGCTCGAGTGATCACATCGAATTCCTAGAATAAGTGGAATAAATTGTGACTCTTCTCTTGCTAAATAATCTCATCTTTTGAATGCTTACATCATTCTTGATCCTCTTCAATATCTCTTCCCATCCATCATCTCCATATGAGACACGAATGAAACTCTTTGCCCCGAAATTCACAATGGGAAATTGCCCATCATTCGTTTCAACATTCAGCGTATCATCTGAAAAGAAAAGTACAGGCAAAATTTCCCCAAAACCTACTTGGAGCCAAGATTTCCAGCTTTTCCTCGTTTCCATTCTTGTAGAAGACGGGGATGTGCCATTTTCTGAAACAATTCAATTCAAACAATTCAAAGAATCGTCACCAGAGCTCAAATTTCAAACATTAACTCACGTGTCAAAGCTATCTTCTGGATATTTTGGATTGAGAGTTTTCGAAAGATAGAATCGACGCTGTGAAATCGAGAATTTCCCTGGTGATTGCTTTTCCACGGTTAGCAATGGGAAACCGATCTGGAATTGGGAAATTTAGAGGCTAACATTTGTCTCTTATTGTAAGAAGTATTTCTATTCTATGGCTTAAGTGCTCTTCACTTTAAGGTCACTATTTCTTTGGTTGAAAGCTCTTATCCCTTTTTCAAACGAGACTTCTAAATGGTAAGAATATTGTTTATCCAATTTGACGGAAACTTGGCTCTAATGAGCAACCTTACACCTATTACAGCAGTTGGCACCATATTGAAACCATATTGGAACTGATTGGAGCCATTTATAGAATCAGATGTAGAACCATATTGGAACTGATTGGAACCATATTGGAACCATTTGAAACATAAATGTCATGCGTTCATGCGTTCAGAATGTTCGTTCTTTTTTGCGTTCTTCATGCGTTCATGTTTAGTAACTTTTCCCTTATTGTTAAATTATTGTGATAGGTTGCTCTGATGACTGCTGTGATAGGTTGCTCTGATGACTGCTGTGATAGGTGAGCAACCTATCACAGCGGTTGGCAACAAAAGCAATAAACAATAAAAAACAATAAAAACAAGTTTGAGATGAAACCTTAAACTTCGGTAATTAAAAAAGTCAATGATTTTTTTCCAGGAACAATAAAATTAATGAGCAACAAATAGAAAACGCGTTGGCGAGGGATACGGTAGCAAAAAGGAAGCTCGAATTTTGGCGAAAAAACAGTGAACTTTTAAGTCATGTTTTTGGTATTTTAGCTTAATACTGTTTTATTTCTAACAAACTTTATAAAAAAACTTGAGGGGAAACCTTTGTATCTACAATTGCAAACCTGTGACGTCCATTGTCTCGCAAAATCCTCGAAAGAAATCTCACCAAAATCGATTTCGGAATATCGACCAAATTCAGTCCACAAATCGTTGGAAACCGCGTTCGAATAGGCATATTTCTTTAGGTAATTCTAAAGATTCCTTTTTGATTACCATTTTGATAACTCGAAAGTGATTTTGAGATACCTGTAGTCCTTTGAAGAAATTTTCTTTCGAAATTGTGTTCATAATCATATTGATCACAGAAGCTCCCTGAAATTGGTTCTGTTTGATTTAAATAAAAAGAATTTCAATCGATTATTGCTAAGCTTAACAATACCCACCTTTCGATAAGTCAGAATGTCGAAACTTTCCTCGATTTTTTGAAGAGAGTCGGCCTAAAGAATTTTCACGTTTTTTCGCTTTCTTTCTGATACAATAAGACTTATGTCAGCTCCGAGCCAAACTGATATTTTAGTTACTATTGTTATTATTGAATGATTTGTCTATTCTTATGCAAATGTGTTCTCCCCTGTGCTTATCCCTTTTATTGCCGAGAAGGGGCGGTCCTTGGGATTGCCTAGGAGGACAGTGAGGAGCCTAGAAGGACAGTGAGACTCTCATTTGGAGTCCCCCCTTCCCCTTACACTTATTTGTAATCTATTCGTCTTATTATACTACTGTAAATAAAGATACATATCTTCCGGGTCTATGCAACTGCAGTACAGGTCGGTCATTTCACAGGGACTCCCCTCTAATACGTCGGAGGAGTTGAGTTGGGTTGTCGGGGTGTTAGAGATGGCGGGATATCAAAAGGGATCCACTCTCTTTAACTTAACCCAAATTCTAGCTTAATTGTTTTAAAAGATTCAGGAATTTAAATGCAAATTTAATGTTTTAATTTCCAGTCAATGAGTCGAAACTTTACTTTGAAAGAAAGTGGATGTGCTGAGGCAAGAGAATCGACATTGAAAGCGATTGATTGAACGAAATCGAGAAAATGTTCCCACTGAAATTGTTTAATGTGTGGTTATGTGGTAATGATATTTAACTTTGGAAATGATATCTAACGATAACCAGCCAGAAAAACCCGCCTAACGTCGGGTTTTTCTGGCTCCGTGCAGACGGATTTTATTTTCTTCACCCCTAGAGGAATCAAAATCGTGACCTTTCTCACTCAAAAAGTGTAAAAACAAAGAAAACAAAAGAACATTGCATCGGGCAGGGATCGAGCCCAAGACTAACCGGGCCCAACGTTGCTCAACTTGGCAGATCGGACGCCGGGAAGCACTACCACTCGGCCACGCGGTAGCATGTATTGTCCAGAATAAAAAACAGTCAAATTATGTTACTAGATTTTTGGAAGCTACGTAAAAAGTTAGTTTTGTAAAAGCTTTCACATCGATTGGTTCAGCCGTTTTTTTCTAAAACAGCGGAACAGACAGGCAGGCAGAAAGACAGACAGACAGACAGACAGGCAGGCAGGCAGAAAGATAGAGAGACAGACAGGCAGGCAGAAAGACAGACAGAAAGACAGACAGACAGACAGACGGAAAGACAGACAGACAGACAGGCAGGCAGGCAGACATACTCTCTCGCTCATAATAAGTAGGATAGTAATTTCTAACTTACAATTCGGAAGTTTGGATCAATCGCTTCTTTACCGAAATAGGTGATGAATGTGGCAAAACCCTCATTCAACCAGACATCATCCCAGAACTCCATTGTAACAAGATTGCCGAACCACTGGAAACTAATGTTTTTAAAAAGCCGTAACCTTTTTCAGTTTAAAATTTGAATTCAAAACTTTAGAAGAAACAATTCTTGCAATCTTTGAATACCTGATGTGCCAACTCATGAGCGATTATCCCAGCAACTCTCGTCTTTTCAAGTGAAGTGCCAATTTCTGGATCAAGTAAAAGAGCCTAATTTCTTCATATAAAATATAAAATTTTATTCTTACCGTTTCCCGATATGTAACTAAACCCCAATTTTCCATAGCACCAAAAGAGAAATCAGGAATAGCGATCATGTCTGGAATCAAGTGATAAATCAAGTCAAAGAGCCTGAGCCTGAGCCTGAGCCTGAGCCTGAGCCTGAGCCTGAGCCTGAGCCTGAGCCTGGGCCTAAGCCTAAGCCTGAGCCTAAGCCTAAGCCTAAGCCTAAGCCTAAGCCTAAGCCTGAGCCTGAGCCTGAACCTGATAGATTAAGGTTACAGCTTTTCTAAGAGATTATCTATCTTTGTACAGGCAGGATTATTGCAATCTATATTTTATTAAGAATAGAAACTTTGACCGATAAAAAGAAATGAACTCAAAAAATTTAACAATTGATTTTGAAAGATATTTTAAACAAGAAAAACTATTTCCTTTTATATTGGTTTTGCTAGAAAATCATGTCCTTTTCTTATCCCTTTCTTATCCTTTTCTTGTCCTTTTCTTGTCCTTTTCTTGTCCTTTTCTTGTCCCTTTTCTTGTCCCTTTTCTTGTCAATGATTTGGCCGGAAATTCACTTGTCTTTTTGAAATTTTCCTTTATAAATGAATAATTAGCTGATAAACGTGTGATTTGCTTTAAATAAAAAAGATTAACTATTTCCTTTAGCTCATTTTTAGGCAAATTTGAGCCAACTTTGAAGTAAATTCGAACGAGAATTCTTATTTTTTTTCTAAACTCTTTACAATGGACATAGAATAAAAACGGCTTGATGAAATATTATAAAAAGTAGTCTATTTGCCTAACTTTTTATTCTCTATCTTTTGTCTTTTAACATCAAAATAGGTTTCTGCAGACAAAATCGATTGTGCGCAAATCGGAACTTTGCATCGACAAAAGTGCATCGTTTTTTACTGCTCGACTTTACTTCTTTAAAGAAATGAACTAACGCGAGCTTTTCTGAATATCTTAAAGAGAAATTTTTAAATAAATAATAGAAATTTTTGATAAAATAAACGATAGATCGATTGGTTGATTATTTATTTCAAAAAGCGGACAAGACTTTCCAGCCAACCTTATAAAAAGATCTTTAAGGACAGGCCTAGTGATTTGGGAAATGCATCCACTGTGGCCAAATGGTAAGCAGGATCACATTCTTTTTAGAGATCTTTTAAGCGAATCGATGCTGGATTGCGGTTTTGTGTACGTTTTTGCTTCAAGAACATTCCAAACACTGAAATCCATCGGATTGGGACTTGAGGCTGGCCACTAATGATGGCCAACTCGGGAAAATGCTGCTTGCGCATTGAAGCAGCCCTGAACTTGAACCAGCCTTGTGAGCACAAGCATCATCCTGCATTAAAACACTAAATCATGTTGTGAAAGTGATTTTTGGCTCCGCGAAGAAGATCTTTCTTAAGTAAGTCGAGGTAGTTGTTTGAACTGACATTGATGGATTGCAATAACCCTGCTGCACCTTGTATAATGCCTATAATACCTTGTTTCCCTAATGGAAAAGGGATTCCAAACAATTTCTCGTAACATTCAAGCGATTTGATCCCAGCATGGAGGGCATATTCCGCTTGCTTTGAGGTACCTTCTTGTGAAAAGACACGGAACTAAATGAGAGCTGGGGTTTAACTTTAAACCTATTTAGTCTGTATGTATGAAATGTCGCTATTTCCCCATCGTTTTGATTTTCCCAAACGATTCCCTAATGATTTTGCTTTATTAGAAACGTTTATCGTTTACCTATTAACACTTTTAAAGCATATTTGAGCGTTTTTGGTTTTCGAAATAAGCTTAAGGCAAAATTCTCATTTTTCTGAAAATTTGTAAAATTCGCTGAACAGATTGATGTGAAAATTTGACTGTAAACTGAACTTTTTATGCTCTATCTTTTTCTTTTTATATAAAAATAGGTTTCTGTAGACGAAAGTGGAGAAATTGGATGATTTTGAATTTATCATTTTTAAGCAATATCAATTTATCATGAGCACAAGCATCATCCTGCATTAAAACACTAAATCATGTTGTCAAAGTGATTTTTGGCTCCGCGAAGAAGATCTTTCTTAAGTAAGTCGAGGTAGTTGTTTAAATTAACATTGATTTGCTTCTCCCCTCCCGAAAACCCCAAAAATAAAAGATTTTCAGAAACTCTAAAAAGCAATTTTGTCGAGAAATAATAGAGCTTTCTGATAGAAGAAATTTGAAGTTAATTGATGAATTAGGAAGTTTTAAATCATGACAAATAGCGACATTTCAGACTTACAGACTTACAGCGTCTTCGAAAGAATTTTTGAAAAAAATTAAACCATAACTTTAGCTCAAATTTTTTTTTAATAACTATTGAAATTTTGTTGATTAAACGCGAAAATTACATAAATTACTGTTTAAAGTTTAATCGGGATTTCTTTAGAAATATCCAACCAATGTGCCTCGTTGAGTTCGAGCCTCGATCGAGTGAAAATCGCAAATCACCAATGCCAACAAATACGATGACATTTTTGGAGTTTCCGTGAAAATCGTGAGCTTCCAATTGGACAATCCGGGAACACTGAATACAAGCTTGTAATTGTTTTTTTAAAATGATTGAATTGATTGAATTGATTGAATTGATTGAATTGATTGAATTGATTGATTTGATTGAATTGAGTGAATTGATTGAATTGATTGAATTGATTGATTTGATTGAATTGATTGAATTGATTGACTAAACCCTGACTCAATGATCTTTTCCTCAGCCCCATTCGAGATCGATCGACTCTGGTTCGGATGTAAAATCGAGAGTTTCCATGTTGCCTAAAGGAGATTTTGGGTTTTTGTTTTGATTAAGCACTTTCTCACTGACTCAATGATTGGGAATGATTCAAACTGGGGCTGACGTTTCAGGATAAGCCACAAATGCTTTACCTAGTCAAAAGAACGTTTCACTTTGAAAAAGATCTTTCAGAAAAATAGGTTAAAAGAGGTAAAAACAGGTAAAAACAGGTAAAAACATATTTGAATTCAAATAATAGATAAATTTTTGGAAGTTAGAACTCCAATTTAGATCTTTCACCAAGAAACAAAGTCCAATTTTAAAAAATCATACAGCTCATGCCAAAAGAATCTTTTCAAAGAGCTTTTTCTGACAGATTAATACTTTTTCCTAGCGTCGCGAAGCACTGTAGTAGCCGTAAGCCTTAATATTTGTCCTTATTTGTTTATTTATCTGCTTTTCAAAAAAGCAACAAAAGTTTATCGGTGGCGGGACTCGAACCCACTGCAAAAAGGCACCTCTTATAGGTTCTGTAGCTCGCGTACTATTCTCTAGATCACCGCTAGATCCTCTAGATCACCGCTAGATCCTCTAGATCACCGCTAGATCCTCTAGATCACCTCTAGATCTTTTTACGTCGCTTATGGCGCGCTCTTATAGACTAGGGCAAAAATGGTCGAAACTTTAAATCCATTTTTCACGCCAGGATTTTAATTTGGGCAAAAAGTGAATAGCTTTTGAAATGCTTATATCTGACTGGTGTTTGCACTTCGAGCTTAGCAATACTTTGAAAAGATATCCACTGCAAAAAGGCACCTCTTATAGGCAGCCATGGGCTCTGTAGCCCGGCGTACTATCCTCTAGGCCACCGCTGCACTTTTTTTGCCGCTTGTGGCGCGCTCTTATAGACTAGGGCAAAAAAAAACGTTTCAATATAAAACGTCAGCCCCAGTTTCGAGGATTCCTTTTTCAGAAAAATTTTAGAATTTAAAACGATTCGAAATTTAGCGTTTCATCTTGCTTTTTAAGCTCTTTTACTTTATAAGCGGGTTCATCAAAACTCGGCACCATCGTTCGACAATCCATCGGACACATTTGCGTGGTGGCAAGAATTCTGAATTTTTTTGTTATTTTAAAAATTGTAAATTGACCTTTACAGTGTTAATATTAAAAAAAAATATTGAATCGGATGGAGATTCGAATAATTCGGTTGAAAAAATAGTACGGCGTAATACTATTAGGGAGAATACGGTATATGGGAAAAAAGAATCAATAACCTAGCCAGCAAGATTAAAACCTCGACCTGCTGACTAGAATGCAGGACTCCTAGTCAGTCGATCATCAACACCATCTGTGTAACTCGAAAATTTCACCTATCTTCTCCATTTTTCCCTTTGAAATGCGCTTGATACAGTCCACCGAGACCATTCGAAACACAACCCGTGAAATCAATCTGAATAGATTGTAGCCGAAAATGATCTCATAATAAATAATAATAAGGCAATGATTAAACGGTAATTTATCTCGAATTTTTGTCAATTCAAATTCTCGCACTCACCAACAACGAATAATGACCATTTTCGATAATCTCTCCATCACCCAACGCCACTTTCCCTTCAGTGTTGAACTCGGCGTGTAGAAATCTCTGAAAAGACAAGCTTTTAGACAAATTTGATAGAAGAATTCTTTCACCTCGATCGTTTCATTTCGAAGAGCGATTCTTTTCAAGTCAAGATTCTTCGCGTGCAATTCGAGGTAATTTGTTGCATTTGGGACATAAATCCTGGAATTTTGGAATACGAGTGGGAAACCCGTGGGTTTTTTTTTCAAAAGGCGGCGCTACTTTTGAGTTTATTTCCATTACGAGATTTTGATACAAAAAAAACTTTGACCGGAGTCGGATTCGAACCCTTGACCTATGGAACTCGATGCGAACGCACTAACCACTCGGCCATCGGGCGCTTTGTGAACCCGAGTGGAAGGGGGCCTATTTGAGCGGCGACCCCAAAAAAACAGCAGAAACCGAACATACCGTATTTCTTCGAATAGAAGACCGGGTAAAGAGTATCAGAGTAAAGAGTACTCCTGCGTAGCAGCCCTTTTTAAAATTTCCTTTCTGCATAGAAGCTTTCAATGAAGTGCTATAGAGCTGGAAAATGACTCAAAAATACCACATGAGCTAACAGATTTTTAAGCCATTTTCCAGCTCTATAGCACTTGATTGAAAGCTTTTATGCAGAGAAGAAATTTTAAAAAGGGCTGCTACGCAGGAGTACGCGATCATACTCTTTACCCGGTCTTCTATTCGAAGAAATACGGTAACTTTTTTCTACTGGGTATTTTTGAAACGGTTTTCAAAAGGCGTATTTCGACCGTTTCCCAAAAAACTCACTCCTGCGCCTGCTAGAGCTCCGACGGACAGACTGACATTTTGAAATTATATATATGTCGTAGCCGATTATGAATGAGCGGGTCCGGACGCCTCCAACCATCAAGTATTTGGTATCATTCAACGCAGAATCATTAATAATTATGTTAAATTTTTAAAATTAGAAAGATTGGATAAAAAGAAAAAAAATTAGAACCAAAAAACTGTTTGTTCAAGAGGAAACTTTGAGGCCCCATAACTTTTTTTCTTTTTATCCAATCTTTCTAATTTAAATAATTTAACATAATTATTAATGATTCTGCGTTGAATGATACCAAATACTTGATGGTTGGACGCTCCTAGACTCACTCATTCATAATCGGCTGAAATTCATAATCGGCTACGGGGGTCCCGCCGATTTTGAATGAAACGTTGTAGCGCGGGCAATTTTTTTACCTAAACTCACAAATTTGGTACCAATTGACGCAGAATTTAATTCGCTACAGGATGATATAATATTGTCCTCATACATTAAAGGGTTGCTCTACTAGAAAGATTTTCCAAAAAAATTTCATTCATAATCGGCTACGACATATAGATTAGTTAGATAGTTAGATCTGTTTATAAAATTTGCAATGAAATCAGAAATCCGTATGAAGATCGTAAGAAGATCGTAAGAAATGAACTTTTCAACAAATTTTTACTTAATCTCGACACATCCACTCGTTTTCAACGCCTCCTCTTCAGCGAAATCCACTCCATATCCAGGGAGATTTATCTGCAAGAAAACATTGGGAATAGAATTTTTTGAATAGTTTACAATCAAAATACTTTAATTAATTTAAAGTGAATTTTCAAGACAACCTAAAAAACTTTGCCTACTTTTAGAGACAAATCATACGAGATCGGTGTCGCTGTGTTTGCGAGCCGTTGTTGATCGGTTCTAAATTTTAAAAAATCAACATAAAATTTAGTTTCTACACTTACGGTTTGATCGCTTTACATGAAATTTGTTGATGTTTTGCTGAAAATTGAGCTGTTTATTGGTTTATTAAAGTTTTTTCCAACCCAAATCCCCCTCGAGCACCCTTTTTGTCGTCTCGAAAAGATGAGTTTCAATCTCGGCAGTCATCACTAGAAAATTATTACCGTAAATACTGTAATAGTACCCCACCCCCCTCGTACAGTCGCGTAGTCGCGAAAGTTTTTTAGTATTTTATTTTTTTCAAAGCGCCCGTACTTTCAAAAAATGCGTCTTTGGTATCAAAAAATAGCCCTGAATCTCAGCTATTTTTTGATACCTAAGCGCGCATTGTAGCATAAACCAGTGTCGCGAAAAACTCGTTCAAAGCTAGACTACGCAATACTCCGCACCATCATTATGGGGGTGGGGTGCTATTACAGTATTTACGGTAGTTTAAATTAAATTATCAAATTATCAGGGGGTGGGACAAATGCGACCTTTTTTTTGCGCACCTGGACATTTGCGCACCTTTTTTTGCTGGAAAAGGCCTTAGTCAAGGCCGTAGAGCTTTGAAAATATTTCCATATAAGGGAATCGTATGCGTAGATTCCGAATTTCGACAAATCAGACCTAGCTGACACGTCAAATTTGGGCTAAAAGACAAAAACTGCGGAAAAGCGTTAAGTTGCGTAGTTTTTGCCTTTTAGCCCAAATTTGACGTGTCAGCGAGGTCTGATTTGTCGAAATTCGGAATCTACGCATACGATTCCCTTCTATGAAAACATTTGTGAAGCTCTACGACCTTTCCTAAGGCCTTTTCCAGCAAAAAAAGGTGCGCAAATGTCCAGGTGCGCAAAAAAAGGTCGCATTTGTCCCACCCCCAATTATCAAATTATCAGTTATTTTATTAACATTAGTTTTAGTATAATTGAATGTTATGTTATTGAGAGAATGTTTTTTTGAATGAATCATCTTTTCCTACTACACATCAAAAACAAATCAAATATAAATCTCCGTGTCTAGAAAAAGGAAAAAAGAACTGACTAAACGAATCTTTTCCTAGAAAATATCTAGGAAAAGATGTGAGGATTTCTAAGATAAATGAAGATTAAAAAACAGAACTTTACTAGTAGAGCCGTCTTTAGTGAACCGTTTAGTCAGTTCTTAGAACTCACTTAGAACTTTAGGTTCTTAGAACCAAGAAAAGATCGTGTAAAAAAGTGAAAAGTGAAAAGTAAAAAGTAAAAAGGTGAAAAGATGGGGTAAAAAACTGAAAATCTTTTAAAAGAGAAGAAACTAAGCAATCAAAATTTATTCTTTTAACAATGTGTAACAGTTTTGTTCAATTTTTTTCAAAGGTATCGCCCTTGGAGTCAATAAAAACTTGTAGATGTGACAGCTTGTAGTTAGCATGACAAAAAGCCATACTACTGTAAGTGAAAGAGTATAATGTTTAAGTAAAGAACCAGAAATGCCTATTATGACAAATGAATTGGACTATAAAAAGTATGCAAATGTTTAGTTTACGATCCAATCAAAAGTGCTTTTCCTCAAAGTTTTCGAGTGTCCTTTTCTCAAAAACTAGTCGATGCTTCTGGAAGTTCAAAATATTATTTGATAGCAAATTTTCTTGCGCATCTTTTGAAGCATAAACCATTGCAAATGGCTTATTGGATGGTGAGGAAATCTACAAAGTGTAAAGGAGGAGAGTACTCGCCTGAAGTATTCCCCTCTTTGAATTTTCAGTTTTTAGTCAATTTCTCAAATTAGTAAATGGTTTAGGAAGTTCAAAATACCATTCAAATTTTTAGCAAATTTTCTTGCGCATCGCATCATTTGCAATGGCTTTTGAAGTATAAGCCATTGCAAATGGCTTATTCGATGATGAGAAAATCTACAAAGTGGAGGGAGAGGCTACTCGCCTTAAGTGTCCCCCTAGGTTTCAGTTAAAATATTCTAGGATTCCGTCGAGCAATCCATTCTCCAATAAAAAATAATAAAACTAGAATTAAATGCACATATTTTGCAAAAAAAAGTAATTAAATGTATTAAAAGGGAGTGAGATATGGGGTAAGAAAAAAGGACACTTTCGAAAAGTGTTCCCCTTTCTTCTCACCCCCATATCTCGGCCATATTTGGATCTTTCGGATCACTTTTTTTTTGTAAAATATGCGCATTCCATTTTAGTTTTACTGTTTTTAATTGAAGAATGAATGGCTCGAAGGAATCTTAGAATATTTCAACTGAAACCTTTAGGGGGGATACTTTAGGCGAGTACTCTTCTCCTTTACACTTTGTAGATTTCCTCTCCATCCAATAAGCTATTTGTTTGCAATGGTTTATGCTTCAAAAGATGCGCAAGAAAATTTGCTATTAAATAATATTTTGAACTTCCAAAACCATCGACTAGTTTTTGAGAAAAGGACACTCGAAAACTATCATACAAAGTGAATCTTGTTATCAGATTATCTTGGTAGTTTTCTAATAAGTTTCGACTAAAATCAAGAATTCTGCGAATCATTAGAGAAAAGTAAAGCTAACTATAAAGCAGATAAAGTTATACAGTTTATTAGACTAAAATAATTCTTGTAACAAAAGTTTAGAACCAAAATTTACTGGACCACTTTGAGAAAAATAGCCCTGACTATTCAAAAGCACTATTCCCCAATATTGATAAGAGAATTTCTCGGAAAAGTTGATTCAGCAAAATTTAATCGTTTTCAACCCATTATTCAAATCCGAATACGAACACACCAAATTACGCAAACAATTTGTGCTTTCTTCAACAAATTTCTGTCCAAACTTCTAATTACTCTTCCTCTTTGATCGTCATGGCGATGATTAATTGATAATTCCTTTTTTTTCTATATTTCTTATTTTAAATTCTCCAAAAGACACGAATTTCAGGGGATTAAATCGCTCATCGATTCAATTCGGCTTTGATTTCATTTAAATTGGTGAGTCGACAAATCTTGAATGTTTCTCTTGATTTCTCTTGATTTTAGTCGTAATCCTAGTCCATTCAAAGTAGAATTGTTTCTAGAAAAACAAAATAAGAAAGAAAATCTTGACTAGAATTTCTTTAAGATTAGAATTAAGATCGATTCTCACGATTCTCACTAAAATTCTCAATGGGTGTCGTAAAATTAAGAGAAAAAACTCTCAACTCGGATCGCATTGTATTGTTTGTTCTCATTCTGTTCGATTTCTAAAGATTTTCGTAGCTTGGATTCAGCTTTGATTCAAATTTTCAACAATGTTGTAAGTAGCGAACTTTGGAACATAACATGAACAGAAAGCTTAGCTTAACTGAATTAGATTCTTATTGATTTGATCTATGGTTTTAAGGGACTGTCGCAAAAGCGGCGCGATTTGTTTTCTAAAGAGTGGATGCGCTACCGTACCCCGCACAAAATTCCCTTTTGCCATTCTTTTCATTTTCTTTCATTCCATGATGAAATCGGAAACTTTGTTCGGCTTTTATACCGAGTCCCGCGGGGTGGGACAAATGCGGCCTTTTTTTGCGCACCTGGACATTTGCGCACCTTTTTTTGCTGGAAAAGGCCTTAGGAAAGGTCGTAGAGCTTCAAAAATGTTTAAAATGTCATAGAAGAAAATGTCATAGAAGGGAATCGTATGCGTAGATTCCGAATTTCGACAAATCAGACCTCGCTGACACGTCAAATTTGGGCTAAAAGGCAAAAACTACGCAACTTAACGCTTTTCCGCAGTTTTTGCCTTTTAGCGCAAATTTGACGTGTCAGCGAGGTCTGATTTGTCGAAATTCGGAATCTACGCATACGATTCCCTTATATGGGAATATTTTTGAAGCTCTACGGCCTTGCCGAAGGCCTTTTCCAACAAAAAAAAGGTCGCATTTGTCCCACCCCCGAGTCCCGCTGTTTTCCCCTTTCGTAAAATTTATTTAAAATTTAAAATAATGTTTTTGTAGCGCGTTTTTAAAGTACTCTCTCCCCTTGTTCGTTCCCTCCTTTTGGTATTGTTTGCCCATGGTTTGTTGCTTAAAATTCTGATACGGTTTCATTTCGTTTTCTTTTCGGCTCTTTTCATTCGATTGTTTTGAATTCATTCACACGTGCCGTATAAACTCAACTGGCACTTTCGTGGTTGGGAGGCGTCACTTTTATCCTGGCTGAGTTGAGACTAATGTTTTGAGTGGTTTTATCCATACTTTTTATCTATTCTAGAGTAATCAAATATACTTAATAGATTAGTGACTATTTTAGCAAGTTTTTTTAGCCTAATCGCATGTACTTTAACCACCAAACGCTACCTCAAAACTACTTACACTTGAAAAATCAAATAAAAGCGACAATATGAAACTTGAAACATATTGTAAATGCTCTAAAAGTATAAGCCTATTTGATTACTCTAGAATAGGTAGATAAAAGGTATCAATACAAGCACTCAAGACATTAGATCCAACTAAGCCAGGATAAAGTGGCCCCTCCAAATCACCAAAGTACCACTCAACCTAACCAATTCCTTTTAACTAAAACGCAAATCTAAACAATCTGCCACCGCGCGATCTTCTTGTTCTTTCGTCTTGGGTTTCGTGTGAAATCATTTTTAGAAAAGGGTTGGTAGATCTAAAGGTGTTAGGTAAGGGAAGTTAGTTATTAACTGAATTGTCTGAACTTAATTGTTTATCTTGGCATTCCATTCATAAACTGTACCCAATAATTCCCCCATTCCAATCAATTACTCGAAAGTCCATCTGCTTCCAATAATTCCGCATTCTTCCCATTCATTTTCATTTTCAGTTTATGCCGTTTTTTGCTGCGTCACTGCTCAAATCTCTAAAAGTTCCATCAGCTTTTAGAGCTTTTTCATCAGCGGGGACAAGTTTCAATAGGTCGGTTTCAACGTTGTTTTGAAGAAATTCTTGTTACCTCAGATTTTAAACAGTTTTGTTGAAAAAATTCTTAAATTCCAGGCTCTCCCCATCAACTTTCCGTCTTTTATTCATCACGACGAGTCGTCTCTATTCGACAACGGCAACGAAAATGGCAAAACCGGGAATTGTCGTCAAAAGATATGACAATATTGTGAAAGGAGCACAAGATGCAAGAGAGGTATCGAGTTTATATTTGAATCTTTTAAAAGCTTCAGAATAGAGCCAGTATTAAATCTTTTCAGTATCGTGGCTTGGAGTTGACAAACGGTCTCCGCGTTCTTCTCATTTCTGATCCGAAAGCAGACAAAAGTGCGGCCGGGATCGATGTGAATGTTGGTGGGTGAAGTTTTTGGGGAATTTTAATGGATTCGGTGATAATCCAGGGTATATGTGACTTTTTGGCGGGGCAACATTAGCATATGCCAATTTTGCTTTGAAATTGCAAATTTGCAAATAAACTTTGCAGCGAAATTTGAATGCGTCTAGGTTTACATTTAAGAAGGGAAATGGCATGAGTACGCGGTTATTTTTTGGAGGCCATACTCAAATGCAAATTGATATAGCTGATGTAAAGTGGCCGGCAAAAAAGTCACAAGTACCCAATTCAGTAACAATTTCAATAACAAGACTCATTTTAGGTCATTTGATGGATCCATGGGAGCTCCCAGGGACGGCCCATTTCTGTGAACACATGCTCTTTTTGGGAACAGATAAGGTAAACCGAAAAGTTAGAGAGGAAAATTGGGAATGATGTCATTTTGGATATTAAAAGATAAGAAAAATCAAATCAAGAACTAGTGCTAATGTTTAACTGGGGATTTGTAGATATTCTTTCAAAATTAACCGGATCAATAAGTTGAATTGTAATTGTAATTGTAAAGACAATTAAGCGGGCCTTCAAATTTCTATTTTTTTAGTATCCATCGGAAAACGAGTACTCGAAATTCATCTCATCACACGGGGGAATGACAAATGCTTTCACTTCATCCGACAATACGAATTATCATTTTGACATCAAACCGAATGAGCTACCGGTGAGGATTTGAGATTATTTTACACATTCACGACGGTGGGTCGTTCGTATTAATGACGATTATTTTTGCGTAAACTCAAGTTTTTATGGACTTCCAAAGGCTTTAAATAATAGTTATATACTAAAAAGCTTAATGACGTCGAAAACCGGATGAAAATCCACTCTGCAAATGGGGTTATACTGTTGTTAGGGCACAAAAAAGAATTTTCGAGGGAGATTGAAAAAAAGAAGAGCCGGCTCTTCTATTATGGGGTAAATGCATATGAAATGGCTAAATTTTTCCACACTCCGCCAACCAATCACCAGATTTCAAAAAGTTCTTTTATGATTTGTTGCTAATGAAAAGTTATGCAATTATCAGCTTTGTTGACCAAAGATTCCAGCCATTGGACAAACTATTTCAAGCAATCATGATTTTCATGCGCGTTTCCAATAAAAAGCTAATTCATTAAGATATCCCAGGCTTTATTGCTTCAAATTATTTTCAAAACTCAAAAATCATATTGATAAAATTCACTGAAATCTTTGAATAGAACCATGTTGATTAAAAAAATATCGAGCTAATAGAACTTTGGCACAAAAGAACGTCAAAGTTGAGTGAACTCGAATGATCAAATGGTTTCTCCATCATTTCATTTCAATTCAAAAGGTTGCCCCGCTTTTATTGGCTTAAGATTATAACTTTTTATTCTAACTGAACAGAAATTAGGTAGCTACACTGGTGGAGAAATTTACATGGATTAGCCATTTCAGATGCATTGACCCAATAGTTTAGTTTATCTTTGAATGTTGATCAAATTATCAGTATTAACGACTACATGACTGTACGCTCCAAAATGTCGTCGTCGCAAATGTGTTAACGGTTGTAGAAAACTTTTATTATTCCAGGGTGCTTTGGATCGTTTTGCGCAATTCTTCTTGGCTCCACAGTTCACCGAAAGTGCTACTGAAAGAGAGGTTGGAAATTTTGCTGAGAATTTTCCTGCTTTGCTGAGATCAATCAGTAGAAGATCTCTGCTATCACCAAATTCTTGTTTTAGTAGAACGCTATGTTTTTGAACTCACCTTATTACAGATCTCTTTCAGGTGTGTGCTGTTGACAGCGAACATTCAAACAATCTCAACAACGACAACTGGAGAGCACTGCAGATTGATAGGTGGGCAATTAAATAATTTTAAAACAAGATAAGAAGTCAAAACAAAACTATAAAATCTTTCAGAAATCTCTCGAAACCGGGCCATGATCACGGGAAATTCGGAACTGGAAACAAAGTGACGCTTTTGGAAGAAGCAAGGCAAAAAGGAGTTGAACCAAGAGAGGCGCTGTTGGAATTCCATCGGAAATACTATTCGAGTAATATGTGAGTTTTGAAAATTCTTGCCTTTCATTTGTTTTGGTAAACTTTTGCACTTCCCAAATTTCAGCATGTCTTTGTCTATTCTTGGCTGCGAACCTTTGGACACTCTTGAATCTTATTTGGAAGAGCTTGGCTTTAGTGAGTTTCATAGCTACAAAAAGTTATGTTCTTGTATATTTTGTGGTAAATCTTTGATTTCAAAACCAAAATTTCCAGGTGAGATCAAGAACAAGAATGTTCCTCGCCACGTTTGGGACGAACATCCATATGGGCCGGAGGAATGCGGGAAAATGGTCGAGGTTAGTCGGTGGAAAAGCTCAATGATTGGGCTTAATAGAAAAGTAAAAGCTTAATTAGCTTTTCCCCATATCACAAAGTTCATAACTATCATCCATTCACCATTTGCAGGTTGTCCCAATCAAAGACAATAGCTCACTCACTGTCACTTTCCCATATCCAGATCTCCGTGATGAGCAATGCAGTCAACCAGCTCATTACATTTGTAGGTTGTAACAATCGTAATCAAATTCATAAGTAGATATTTTTAACACGCGCATAAATTTTTTAATTTAAAGGAAAATAATAAAGTATCTCAATAGCTGAAAGAAAGTTTCAAGTTTGACAGCCTGAAAGCTCGATTCAATTATGCAATTCATCATAGCTCGGTTTGCGTTTCCGGCTGCTTCTCAAAAATTCATTTTTTCAGCTCATCTCATCGGTCACGAGGGCCCCGGGAGTCTTCTGTCAGAGCTGAAAAGACGTGGATGGGTGAGCTCCCTGAGCGCTGGCCACAACGCAATCGCTGCCGGCTTTGGGAAATTCACGATTGTCGTTGATTTGAGTCAAGGTTGGCTAACAAAAAAGCATAGTTTTATTTGACTTTATTTTGAAAACTATCCAATAAGAAAATTTAGATGGACTCGAGAATGTGGATGAGATCATCGCGTTGATCTTCAACGAGATCGGATTGATTAAGAGGTTAGTTCTTTGATATGGCAAGAATATGAAGTAAAAAGGATATAGGTTTACAAGATCTTACCTACAAAAATCCATTTCCAGTACCGGCCCTCAAAAATGGATCCAAGAGGAGTTGGCCGAGCTGGGAGAAATGAAATTTCGATTCAAGGGGAGTATATATAGATTCGAATTTTGATCGAGTGTCAAACAATTTTTTTTTGATTAAAGAAAACTTTATACTAATATAGAATAGTTTTCAGCAATCATATTTTGTTTTTTTTCAGGACAAAGAAAGCCCGATGAGCTATGTGACAATGCTGTCAAGTGATTTGCAATATTCGAGCTTCGATAGTGTTCTCTCAAGGAATTATCTGATGCCCGATTTTAAACCAGGTGGAACTTTCTTTTACAAATTTATCAAATACTAGAATTTCAACTGTTCATTTATTTCTTGAATGCATTGAAACATTAAATTTTTCCAATTCAGAAATCATCACGGCTCTTCTCGAGTCGATGCGTCCAGAAAATATGATTTGTCGAGTGGTGGCCAAGAAATTTGCGGTAGGTTTTAGAAAGATTTTTTAGCATTTAGAAATTAGAAGATTATTTGGAAAGATTAGAAAGAGTAACATCGTATCTGGATAAAACTATTTGGGATTTCAAATAAATGTTTAGGGTCAACCGGATAACACAAATGAACCGATCTATGGCACAGAGATGAGGATTACGCAAATTTCAAAGGTAATGAATGTTTTATATTTAAAGTTTAACACATTGAAATGACAATTTAACAAATTCACGACGATACGACGTACTAATGACGGTCATGTTTACGTAAACTAAAGTTTTTTTTAGTTTAGTTTTTAAGAAATTTTGTTCCTTATTTCGCAAGAAGTTCTCGGTAACTTTGTACTAGTTATCAAGAGAAGATTCAGAGCTATCGAATGACTATAATAATTTGGTTTATCTTTGAATGTTCTCCAAATTCTCAGTAAAACAATTAACGACGACGCGACCGTACGCTCAAAATGCCGTCGTCGTGAATGTGTTAATAATGTCGTGGTGTGCTACTCTTTATACTTTGTTAGTTCTCTATCGAAACTAGTACTAGCTAGTATTAACATGAGAACTAAAATCATTCAACAGAGCAACTCCTTCTTTCAGGAAAAAATGGATCGTTTCACAGCTGCTCTTGACGAAGTACATCCAAATTTGTCGATGCCCGAGAGAAATGAATACGTTGCAACAAATTTCGAGATCAAGGAAACCGGCAAAAATGAGTTAGTGTTATAAGAATCTTTATGAAATTATAGAAAAACAATGGAAAGCACCTCTTTTTCAGAATTTCTTCTCCCCGCCTCATTCGAGACGATCAATGGTTGAGAGTTTGGTTCAAACAAGATGACGAGTTTCATTTGCCGAAGAAAATCACAAAGGTATTCATTTCGAATCGCAGAGTTCACTCTACTTACCTATTTTTATTCACACAATCAACTCTGAATCGTTTCAGATTAATGTCACCTCACCAACAATTGTCTCGGATCCGCTCTCAACGGTGATTGGAGGAGTTTTCACCACCTGTCTTTTGGTGAGTTTAAAAATTGAATCGGATCAAGAATCAAAAAAGCTTTCTCTAGTTAAATTTTGATAGCAATAATGTTTATTCAATTTTCAGGATGCTTTGGCTGAAGAAACGTACAATCCCATGTTGGCTGGACTCTCACATTCAATCGACATTGGATACAATGGAATCGAGATTCGGGTATGTTTTTAGCGATTTCTGGCAGTTAAACTCGTTGAGAACCTCTTCGTACGTTTAGAACGAGAACTTTTACAGGTTCGTGGATATGATGAGAAGCAAAATCTTTTCGTCCGAGACCTCGTGCGACGAATGATTCACTTTAAGCCTGGTTGGTTGAATGAATATAAATTGTCGGAATTAGATCTCGTTAACTGTTTCATCTAATCTATTTTATTGTAGATCCCCTTCGTTTCAACGTTCTCAAAGAGGAAATGAGACGATCGTTGAGGAATTTCTCGCACGGGCAACCATATTCCCTTTCTCAGCATTATCATCTTTTGTTGACAGCGCAGAAATATTGGAGCAAAGAGCAATTGTTGGCTTGTTGTGCAGGTAATGCTAAAAAAGTGATAAAGACGACAAATCCTACTCTTTTTTTTCTTAGATGTCACCGTGCAAGATGTGGAACAATTCCTGGAAAAAGCTCTTCGCGGTTTTCACGTCGAGGTCTTTGTTCATGGAAATACAATTGAACAGGTGAGTGCAAGATGGATAAATTTAGATATAAGAGATAGATAATTAAATAAGAAAATTAGATATAAGATGAATACTACAATATGTTTAGGAAGTGTTGGACCTGTCGGAGACAGTCCTATCCGAGTTGCGATCGATTCCAATCCCATCAAGACCGTTGTATGCAAATGAATGCGATTTGAAGAGGGATCATCAATTGTCGATTGGTAAACAAATTCGAATTCACTCCATTGCCTGCAGCTGACTGTTTTATTTTCAACTTTACTCCTTTAGGAAGTGATTTCGTCTTCCGACATTTCCAACCAACCCACCCCGTCTCCTGCGTCGATCTTCTTCTACAATGTGGTGTCTTGGTTGGTTTTTCTTGAGTGGCTATAAAAAATTGGCATAGTGTTAAGAATGGTTTTTTTTAGGAAAATCGTGGCAACGTTCTACTCGAACTATTGGTGCAATGTATGCAAGAACATGCATTCAATGTGCTGAGGACAAACGAGCAATTGGGTGAGTTGCAAAAGTAGATCGAAAACTGGGTCGATTTCATTCACAATTCCATTGTTCAGGCTATATCGTGCACACGGGTGCTCGCCGTTTCTCGGGCACTCAATCATTGGAATTGCTCATTCAAGGGCCGAAAACTCCGGATTTTGTTGAAGAGAGAATTGAAGCATATCTTGAGATGGCTAGGGTTCGTTGAGAAATCGTTTTTTAACGCGATTAGTTTTGATTTATAAACTGAAGCTTTCTAATGCAACACCAAATTTCCAGAGCTCAATCCTTGAGATGTCTGAGACTGATTTCAACAATCACAAAGAGGCTCTTGCTACAAAGGTTTTTACTAACAAGCTTTTATTATAACTTTTATATATTTTATAAATCCTGTAATAAGAACTAAAATAAGATCTTCAATGTTATTTTAGCGTCTCGAAAAGCCGAAGACTCTTGGACAGCGATTCATCCGGTTCTGGAATGAAATTGAGTCACGGGAATATGATTTCACAAGAGGTGGGGAAAAGCTTAATAATTTTCTCTAACTTTGATCCAGTTTTTGAAAAATCAATGAGCTTTTACAGCTGTCGACGAAGTGGAACTCTTGCGAAAGTTCACAAAAGAAGATCTCGTCGAGTTTTTCGATCTTCGAATCGGCAAAGATGCAAAGGAAAGAAGGAAATTGATTGGTGAGTGATCTTAAAATTTTATGAGTGAGTAAAATCTTGATTACATTACAATTTTGATTTGATTTTAATTCAAATAATTTTTTTAGTGATGGTTCATGGAAGTGGTGACACCAAAGAAGCGGTCGCAGCCGAGAAAGCATCGGAGGTAAATGGAGTTTGAGCGTGGAATTTGAAATCAAATAATTTTAGTTCATTCACTAATATGTTTTTAGCATCAATCAGTTTATAGACATGCGAATTCTAAAGTAAAACGAAATTTTTCAAGCTGAGAACGAGCCATATTTCCACTGAAAATTGAATGTACTCATTTGCCAGAGCAATTTGGTATTACAGACTATCCAGTTGTCTCCAGAATACTGTCAAAATCCAACATCCATACTGTAAAAGATATCGAATTCATTTTTCCTTTCAGCGTGAAATCCGTTGCATCGACTCTTTCCGATCAGGTCTTCCCCTTTGGGCTCATCCTCGTCCAAAAGTCGAAATCCCTCCACCCGGTGCTCACTATTTGAGCGATCTCAGCGAAGAAAACGAGCTTCCGAATGCTAAAATTTAAAGCCATTTCCTGTCCTCCTTTTCACAAAACATATCCTTGTTCTTGTCAAAAGGTTTTAGGCAAATTCTATTTTTTGTTTTTTTTTTGTTTGTTCAGAGATTTATTCAAACTATCGAATTTTCTTAGACTTTTAGTCAAAATTCCCAAACTGCTCATCAGACTTCCGATATTTGAATTGTTTTTCCCATTTTTTCCCCATTCTTTTTTTTATAGTCAATCTTGTGGTGTTTCATCGTGTTTGTTTCGGGTTCTTCCCTTGATACAATGAATAGAAAATTTAAGAAAGTTCAGTGTTATTTGTTGTATCGTTTTTGTTTGTTCTCTATTCGTTTTATCGATTAGTCTTCACTTGTGGGCTAGTTGAAATAAAGTGTTCTTCTCAAACAAAATTCGCGAAGATGGTTCTAGATTATCCAAAGTATTTGAAAAATGAACTTCTTTAAGCAGTGTTTCAATTTAAACAAAACCCGTGCTCTAGAATTTTATTTAATGAAAACTCACCATTTTTACTTTTGATTGTTCCTTATAATCTTATAATGCAACCAAAAATTAGAAAATTTCCATTTTCCATCTTTTCTTAGATGCCCTATTTTGTTGGAGTTGACGTGGGCACGACGAGTGTCCGAGCTGGGATTTTCGATCAAAATGGGTCTCTTTTTGCGCAAGCAACTCAACAGATTCAGGTAAGATCACAATTTCTTAGCTACAATGAAAAGCTGCCGTAAATACTGTAATAGCACCCCACACCCCATAATGACGGTGCGGAGTGTTGCGTAGTCTAGCTTTGAACGAGTTTTTCTCGACACTGGTTTATGCTACAATGCGCGCTTAGGTATCAAAAAATAGCCCTGAATTTCAGCTATTTTTTGATACCAAAGACGCATTTTTTGAAAGTACGGGCGCTTTGAAAAAAATGAAATACGAAAAAACTTTTGCGACTACGCGACTGTACGAGGGGGGTGCGGTACTATTACAGTATTTACGGTATTCAAATAACAATTATGATTAGTATTTTTAGCTCTTCTACCCTCAGTCAAAATACATCGAACAGTCTTCTGAAGAGATTTGGTCAGCCGTTTGTACATCAGTGCTAAAGGCTATTGAAAATAGTGAAGTTCGAAAAGAAGATGTATTGGTAGGTTAGTGGATGATTCAAAGTGCCTTAGAAAAACAAAATATCTGATCCCAATTCAATGCCAAAACGGTACTTCGGCATCTTTGCCTCACCAAAAAGTTAATATGCAAATTGATCATCGACATCGTACTTCATTGAATTTTAACATTTTTATCCTAGCTTTGATATGTTTTGAATAGATTTAAGCTAGAATTAATGAACCTAATAAAGTCATTTATAATATTTGGCCCCTTAGATTGCGCCCTTACCTTTGTAAATTCTCAAGATACGAATAGATGATATGAGGTTATACATCGAAAGCTGAAGACCCCTACATTTTGGAAAAAAGGAAAAGTGACATTCCCTTTGACTGCACGGGGGGGTCGTTTTGAAAACCATCCAGTCCTCAAGTTTTATGGTGAAACCACCGAAAGAAAAGAAGAGCCGAAAGTTATTAAAAAGTGTATGATATACTATTGGCCAAACTCCGCGGCGGGCCGTCCCCAGAAAAATAGAGAAAAGCTGAAGGAAATTTACATTTATTCTGTTTTGGTTGGCAAGGCAAAAATGCCGAAGTACCGCAAAAACTTCAGGGAATCGGCTTTGATGCAACGTGTTCCCTCGTGATTCTCTCGAAAGATGAAACTCCGTTACCCGCTTCTGTAAATGGTTTGTGCAAATAAAACTACCGTAAATACTGTAATAATACCCTACCCCCTCCCCCGTACAGTCGCGTAGTCACAAAATTTTTTCGTATTTCATTTTTTTTCAAAGCGCCCCTACTTTCAAAAAATGCGTCTTCGATATCGAAAAATAGCCCTGAATTTCAGCTATTTTTTTTGATACCTAAGCGCACCTTGTAGCATAAACCAGTGTCGAGAAAAACTCGTTTAACGCTAGACTACGCAACACTCCGCGCCGTCATTATGGGGATGGGGTACTCTTACAGTATTTACGGTAGGATTACCCTTCGATTTCAGGTGATCCATCTCACAATGTAATCCTTTGGATGGATCATCGAGCCGAGAAAGAAACCGATCGAATCAATCAGACAAAAAGTCGAGTTCTCGATTTTGTCGGCGGGAAAATCTCCCCAGAAATGGAAATCCCAAAACTCTTGTGGCTCAAAGAAAATAATGAAGAGACTTGGAAAAAAGCTGGAGTTTTCTTTGATTTACCTGATTTTCTGACATGGAAAGCCACTGGATCAACGAAGCGATCGATCTGTTCGACAACTTGCAAATGGACGTATTTGAGCAAAGAGGAGAAATGGGATTCCGAATTTTTCCGTGAGATTGGATTAGAGGAGGTTGTTAGTGATGGGTTTGAAAAGATTGGAAACGAAATTCGAAACTTGGGAGAAGCTGTGGGAGAGTTGACAGAAAAAGGCGCTGAAGAGTTGGGTTTAATGAGGGGAATCAAAGTGAGCGTTTCGATCATTGATGCACATGCGGGAACAATTGGAACAATTGGAGCACGGGGAAATGATATCGGTGATTTGAATTTGTATTTGAACATTAATATTAGTCGAAGCTTTTTGTCTAATTATTAAAACGAAACTGGCAATGGATGGTCACAAGGCTGAGGTGGTCAAATGAAATGAGCTATATACCAACAAAAGAAAGAGATCGAACCCGAGCAAGAATTTGATGGCTAGTTTCGGAAACAAGACTCTTATCCACTACACCACAAGCTGACACTTTGAGGCGGTGAAAGAAGCCTTCTATAAGGAATGATTTTTGATCTCAAACTTCTTTTCTAGATCCCTCGCGTTTCCGAATGATTTTGCAAAAACGGATAACAGCATCGGAATCAGCGTAAAATTCTGCATTGTATGGTATATGGTTGATGTCATTTGGTCACCTCAGCCTTGTGACCTTCCCTTGTGATTTGTCTAAAGTTTGAAGAAATAAGACTTTAAACAAAATGACTTCTGAAAGCTTTTTCAAAAAAAGTAAATAGCCTTGCGATTCAATAGATTGAAATTAAAATATTTTCAGAAAAAATTAACTTCGATTCGAGGATTTCACTAATTTGTGGAACTTCCGATTGTGTAATGGCTTTATCTCCGATGGCTCGATTCATTCCAGGTACCGTATTTTCTCTAATAGTAGTGAACCGCACCGAGCCGAGTTGATGCCGATTTTATGGTTTTCAATTTTTCCCAGAAGCTCAACACTTTAAGCCCCCACAAGATCTCATCGTCAGCTACATTTTCCGATCCCATATCGATAGGTTCTGATAAGCGGTTTTTGAGATTTCGAGCAATTTAGACGACGATTAGGGTGCACTACTATGAGAGGAAATACGGTATTTTATCAATGGGAAATGAGAACGAAAGGCTTAGGAAAAGGCTTAGGCCAAGATTTCTCCTTATGCATGATTCTAGAATTCATTCGGTGCACCTGGAGGGTTCGGTGCGCCATTTAAAAGTGTGTTTTTCATGTGCCGGCTTTTCTCTAATAGTAGTGCACCCCGGCGAGCCGAGTTGGTGACTATTTTATGGCTTTCAAAGATTTTACAAAAGCTCAACACTCAAATCCCTCACAAGATCTCATCGTCAGCTACATTTTCCGATCCCACATCGATAGGTTCTGATAAGCGGTTCTCGAGATTTCGAGCAATTTAGGCGACGCTCAGGGTGCAATACGTTTAGAGAAAATACGGTATCTAACTTCAAAACTCATACTCATAACTAGAGTGTGTTCCTTGCGAGTTATGCGTGAGTTTTTAAAAACGCAAACTTAGGAAAATTACTTACTTACTTACCGTACTTTTAACGAAAATTATTGCGAAAAATTGTCGCAAAAAAGCATGTACGACTGCTTTTAAAGATATTGAGCTTTTTAAATGATTTGGTGACAAATTCCCTTCAAATGTAAAGATATTCAATTTACTCGCCGTATAAAGAGGATTGCTCGTAGTTTATTCGACCAAAAGCGTCGATTAATCGAGTCAAAATTACTTAATGTAAATTTTATTCCTGTAATTTACTTACTCGCAAGGAACACACTCAACAAGTCACAACTAGTCTCTTTACCTTATTAGCTTCATTTCTGAATACTCAGCCTCTTATTAATTCTTCAAATCTCACATATTTACATCCTTGAGAAAGATTTGGTCTAATAAAAAAAAAAGGATTTTTCTTTTAGGTGTTTGGGGACCGTACTTCTCAGCCGTGTTACCCAATTTGTGGTTGAATGAAGGCGGGCAATCGGCCACTGGAGCTTTATTAGATCATTTATTCTCAACAAATCCTGATTTTGAAAATCTCAAAGCGAAAGCTGAAGAAGAAAATCTTCATTTCATTGACTATCTGAATCAATTGCTATTCAGCTTGAGAAATGCGAGTTCTGAGTGCCATTTACTTGCAAAAGATCTCCACATTCTGCCGTATTTTCATGGAAATCGCTCTCCAAGAGCTGATCCGAGTCTGAGAGGATCGATTGTTGGCTTAAATCTGACAAAATCGACGGAAGATTTGTTGAAATTATACCTAGCAACTGTGCAATCAATAGCTTTAGGACATCGACATATTATTGAAGAAATGAACCGAAATGGATACTCGATTAAAGAGATTATTGTTACGGGTGGTGGAGCGAAGAACGCTCTCTATCTACAAGAAATAGCGAATGCGACAAAATGTGTGGTTCTTCTTTGTGAAAATTCGGAAGCGATGATTTTAGGATCGGCGATTTTAGCATCAGTTGCTGCAAATTTCTGCACAAATCTTGAAATGGCGATGAAAAAGATGACAAAAATCTCGAAAACAATTCAACCAAATGAGAAACTCGAAAGTTTTTATGATAAAAAGTTCGCCGTCTTTTTGGAGATGTACGAAGATCAGAAGAAATATCGAGAAATCATCGAGAAATGAGAAAACATTCATTTCTTTGGGAGTGGGACAAATGCGACCCTTTTTTTTGCGCACCCGGACATTTGCGCACCTTTTTTTCCGCACCTTGCCCATTAGCGCACCTTTTTTCGCGTTTGAAGCTCTAAAAGCTCTAAAAAAGCTCTAAAAAGCTAATATTAACCAATTTCTATTCCAAAAGTTGTTTTTCTAGGTAATTTTAGGGCGTAGAATCGAAATTTTGACATATTAGAGCTTGTGGAAACAAACGAACGGAGTTATACAAAGAGATCGACAAGAGATACAAATCGACAATTTTCTGTAATTTGATCTAGCCGTTTTGTCTTTCAAATTGGTTCCACACGCTCTGTTATGTCAAAATTTGAATTCGACGCCCTCAAATTACCTCGAAAAACAACTTTTGGAATAGAAATTGGTTAATATTAGCTTTTAGAGTTTTTTAAAACGCGAAAAAAGGTGCGCTAATGGGCAAGGTGCGGAAAAAACGGTGCGCAAATGTCCGGGTGCGCAAAAAAAGGTCGCATTTGTCCCACTCCCATTTCTTTTATCGTTATCAATTCTTTTCTGACTTTTTTTTTGTTTTCTTTCTTATTTCCTTGTTTTTTTGGAATGATTATAGAGAAATTTTAGAGATTTTCGATTCGATGAAAGCTTTTTATTTCTAATATTTCGGGATGACGAATTTATTACCGGATGACTCGTATTGCACAAGTGAAATGGGGAAATTGATGTTTCGATCAAAGTGAGCTTTTTTTTGAGTTTCTAAAACTAGAAACACTATAAAATAAACGAATTGGACTTGTAAATGAATAAATTTTTACTCATTTTTAGAGCCGATTGTCCGTGCACTGTGACGTTGATCTCTGCGAGCGATGAAACGATGATCGGTGTCACTTTTACGGCTTACACTTTAGAGTTTAAAGTAAGTTGATCAATATCTTTGTGATTTTAGTAAGGGACAGAATTTTTCACGCATCTTGTACTAAAAACGATCTCGAATCAACTTTGAATTGTGTTCTGTGTGTTCTTTGTGTTCTTTGTGATCTTTGTGATCATCATTGTTTGCAGGATTTAAAGCTAAAAGTGTAATTCAAAGTTGATTCGAGGTCGTTTTTTGGTACCAGGTGCGTCAAAAAATCCGGTCCCCTCCTAAAATCACTTTTACAACGTTTTAGAAACTTTCCAAAGCCTCAAAACCTAAAAAATCAGATTTTTCAAGTGTTTTTACGCTAGAAAATTCTTTTATATCTTCTATTTTACTCATAAAAAATTTTATCGAACTTTTTATGAAAACATTTGAGGCCAAAGACCAAAATAGCTTTCCTAAACACTTTCAAATGACTATCTAGATAGTAAAACATTTTCCTGAAGACTTTTTAGCATTATTCACATTTGGCTAGCCATAGTTCTTAGGAAATTTTGCTTATTTTTGAAGATTTTGCTTAGGAAGCCCGGGTTTTTTTTTTTGAAAATAGATGACCAAAATTACATCAAACCACAAAAATCGACAAGTTGATCTGAAGAAAGACGAAAAATGAGGGCGAAAATGCTCAAATGCAAATTGAAAACCGTAATAAATGACTGTTTTTATAGTTAAATAGTTATTAATTATTAAAAACTTTTGAAAATATTAAATTCAAATTTCCTACAAAGCTAGGAAAGATATTTTGTTCTTTAACCTGAAATATTGTCATAAAAAGTTCTATAAAATTTCCTGTATGACTAAAATTGTTATAAAGCAGGGGGGTGGGACAAATGCGACCTTTTTTTGCGCACCTGGACATTTGCGCACCTTTTTTTTTGCTGGAAAAGGCCTTAGGCAAGGTCGTAGAGCTTCAAAAATGTTTTCATAGAAAGGAATCGTATGCGTAGATTCCGAATTTCGACAAATCAGACCTCGCTGACACGTCAAATTTGGGCTAAAAGGCAAAAACTTAAGCGGTAAGTCGCGGTTTTGCCCCTCCCCCCACCCCCCCCCAAAGCCCCCCCCCCCACCAAAAGGCCCCATTTGTCCCACCCCCATAAAACACTTATAAAACAATTTTCTAGTATAAAAATACTTGAAAAAGCTTACCGTATTTACTCTATTAGTGGGGTCCTCTCTAATAGTGGGGTCGTCTGGGGGGGTTGAAAAATAGTGGGTCCTTCTAATATTGGTAACGAAAGTGATACATCAATTGTTGATCTCTTGGATTAGTTCTTTTACTGTTTGTTAATGTTTTGTTACGGTTAAAGCTAAATAAAATATGAAGCCAAACTTGTTTTGTCAAGAATTTCGGAGAAAAATTGATATCTTTTCAATTTAAAACTTTGGTTTTATGTTCTTTTAAATTTCTCTAATAGTGGGGTCCTCTCTAATAGTGGGGTCGTCTGGAAGGGGGTTGAAAAAATAGTGGGGGACCCCACTAATAGAGTAAATACGGTATTTTTTAGATTTTGAGGCTTTGGAAAGCTCAGAAAACTTCAGAAAACTTCAGAAAATATTGTAAAAGTGACTTTGGAAGGGGACAAAACTTTTCCCGTATCTTGTACTAAAAACGATATTGAATCAATTTTGAATTACAGTTTTAGCTAACATCTGTAAACGTTTAGTTCGTTTAGTTCTTACCAAAAGAATCTCTCCTTTCTGAGCCACGAATATTTCGATTAACAACTCGTTATCGAGAGGTCAACAAATTACAATCAGCTCTTGCGAAATTACATAAACAAGTGGGTTTTTTCTTTGAATAAAGCTTTTAAATAAACAAAGTGAACAAGTTTTTGAACAATTTTTGAACAAATATTAATTTTAGCTGTACCTCCGAGGAACTTTCCCAACTTTTCCACAACCAAAACTCTTTGGGAAAGCTGATGAGGCGGCGATTGAGGAAAGGAAAAGAGTTTAGTGATTTGAGATAAGAAAATAAGAAGATTGAGTTTTGAGTTAAGAAGTAAAGACGAGTAATTTATGTTTATAGCTTTCAATTCTATTGAGTTGGTCAATTGAAAACTGCGGTACTTTGAACTAAAATTTATTCAACATAAAAGCATAAATTCATTCCAAATTATTTCCATTATTATTGACGACTTCTGCCCATTTTACAGGCAATTTGCGGATTCCTCTTTCGTAGTAGGATTTTGGTTTTGAATCGAAAAACTTTCAAAGCCAATTTTTTACTGCTTCTTCCGAGTCGAAGTGTTCTCCCGCAAGCCAATTACTCATGGTCCGGAATAAATAGTAATCAGAAGGAGCAAGGTCCGGACTGTATGGGGAATGCGCCAAAAGTTCCCAAACAAGGCTATTTATTTTAGAGCGAGTCAGTTTTGCAACATGAGGGCGCTTTGAACTAAAATTTATGCAACATGAAACCATAAATTCATTCCAAATAATTTCCATTATTATTTCCATACTTCTGCCCATTTTACAGGCAGTTTGCGGACTCCTCTTTTGTAGTAGGATTTTGGTTTGTGTGTGAGACAAGTGTGAGACTCAAAAATGGTGGACTGGAGCTGTCCCAGTGTCCCAGTTTGGGCACTTTCTTCAAAAGAAACCCATTTTGGTGTCAATAGAAAAGTTGTAGAGAATCAAAAATTAGGCTTATAGCCAAATTTCCAAAAAGATACACTTAGTAGTTTCGCTTAAAATGCAAGTTTTGTGAAAATTCGTAAATTTGGCATTTCTTGAAAACCAGTTTTTGAATCGTTCTGAAAATTTGGATATAAGCTTGATTTTTGATTCTCTACAACTTTTCCATTGACACCAAAATGGGTTTCTTTTGAAGAAAGTGCTCAAACTGTCACATATACCAACACAATAATTTTTAAACTGCCAATGTTTTTTTCTTTTACAAGAAAACATTCAGGCAACCGCTCACGTCTTCGAGTTTCTTCTTGATAGCGAGGTGCTGAGGAAGGCTCGATTATTGCATGAATTCGTTCAGGTTCAGGAAATTTAAGCAATAAGCAATAAATCCTTTTGATCCTTTTGGTGCCAAAAATTAATCAAAGATTTGTTTAGAAAGCCACTGAAACAGTCACTTCTCCAAATATTGTCACGCTAACATCTCTTCCAACAAGAGTTAACGATGTCCAACTACAAGATATCATGGATACACCGATTCCAACAAGGTTTAGATCAAGATTGAATAGATTTTCATCTTATACATCAAATGTAAATGGTAAATGTGAATTTGGGCATCAAAATTTACATTCACTCTCGTTCACTATAATTAATGTTTTGTGTTTAATTCAAAGTTCACTGTTTGGCAGTTAATTGCGATGCTTGTTCAAAATCGTGTGTCGGCTAGAGTCAAATTTACCAATAGTCACTTTTAATTATAAATTACGTTTTTTAGCACCGCCAACGATCTGAACACTCTCTTGGAACCGACAACTGAAGCGACAAGTGAAGAACAAGCACAAGAACATGTAAATGAAGCAAATGAGTTGAAAAATATTGAGAAAGATCAATGCAAATAGCTACCTAAATAACTAGCTAAATAGCTAAATAGCTAAATAGCTAACTAGCTAAATAGCTAAATTGCTAAATAGCTAAATAACTACTCTTGTAAGTAGTCTAAATTCACCCTAAACTTAGTCCTTAAGTCATTTTACTCCATAGACACTTTTTTTTGCTAACGACTTCATAATCGATGATTTAAACTAAATATTGGGTTGTCCAGTTATGAATGCGCGTTTTTACTATTTTGTGAATTTCTCAAGATATCGAAGAGATGTTTATGAGTGTTATATATCATTCGAAAGCTCAAGATCTCCTCTACATTTTGGAATAAAAATCGTTTTTGAATTCTTTCAACTTTTTGGGAAATTGACTGCACAAAGGGAGAGGTCGCTTTCGAAAAAACCCGTTTCAGCTTAGCTATTCCTCAGGTTTTATGGTGTAAAATAACCGCCCAGAAAAGAAAAGAAAAGTAAAGATGCTCTGAAATTGTTATATTTAAAAAAAGTTGTATTTATATATCTATTGGCCAAACATCAAACGGTTAACTCAATTTGAGCGGGGCCAAAACTTGATCCAAAGGCACCCTTCCATTTTTTGGCCACCTCTTCAAATCTGTGCAGTCAATTTGCCCAAAAGCTGGACAAATTCAAAAACTTTTCATATCAAAATGTAGAGGAGATCTTCAGCTTTCGAATAATACTCATATATATCTTTTTCTTGATTTCGGTATCTTGAGAAATTTAGAAAATAGTAAAAAACGCGCATTCATAACTGGACAACCCAATATAAGGAAAAAAGGCTTAAATTATTCGATTTTAAAGTTCTATTGAAATTTGGCTTTGTGATTTTTAAAAAAACAGAGCTACAAGCCATCTTACACCCAATTCTAAGCTCAACTTTAAACTTACTTTTTTTTTAAACTTAGCTAATCTTTTTTCTTCCATTGTGATCATTTAAATTCCACTTGATTTCCATCTTTTTTTTCTTTCTTTCTTGAATTCAACGTGAATAAATTCTTTAATTCGACTGAATTTTAAACTTTGCATACGTTGAATTCAAGTTTTATTTAACAAATATTTAACAAGCTGAATCGATCAATAAGTGGAAAGAATTGTGAATCGTCGACTTGTAACTGGTATTTAGCTGATAAGTTCAATAGATAGTAAATAACTTCACTTAAAGAAGTTAAATACCAGTTAAAAGAACTTTTAACTGTTATTTAACTGGTATTTAGCTGATAAGCTCAATAAAGATCAAATAACTTCACTTAAAGAAGTCATTTGACACTTATATAATTTATTTATATATATTTATATACATTTATATATAATTTATATATAATTTGTTCAAAAATCGTTAACGGGAAATTCCCTTTCAGACACTCGATGCCAGTCAATCGATATCCGGTGAAACCGAATCGCAAGCCTACAACACTCCACCCGACTCACCGTCCGCATTTCAATTTCCCGATTTGCCGGTAAGTTGAATGTAAAACCTTAAGATCAACTATTGCATGAAAATTTCAGTTAACTTTTGACTCGTCAACAGAAAGAGATCATCCACCAACAGCTATTCGACGCTTTCTCAACAAAATGCCCCTAGCGGCGCCATTTTCTTCAAGAGGTTTCCTTCATTATAAAGCTTTCTTTTAGAAGTTAAATCTTATAAAACTGAGCTAATGAATTAAACAGAAAAAGATTTAAAATACCTTTTTCTTTCAGTTTTGACTGAAACGGTGAAATCTGATGAATATCTTTTGGTGGCTGCCGAGTTGGTATCGACAGCGCAAAGAGCGGAAAGTGAACGGGAATTCGAATTGGCATTTCATTGTTTAAAACAAGCTGCGCACGTTTTGATACAAGTGAAATAATGCTTGGATTAGTGAAAAGATTTCTTTCAGGGTCTTCAAGAGGAAAAAGATGTGACATTGAGGAATGCTGTGAGAAGGAAAACGGCTAAATATCTCGTGAGCTTTTGATCAGAAATCAGAAATCCTTTTAGAATGCATAAGTTAAGGAATAAAGTTGAAAATGAGAAACTAACAATCGATGAAATTACATTTTACAATTAGGTACGCGCTGAGCGGATCTATCGAAGTCATCTCTCATATGATGGAACACAATTGAACTTCGAAGAACTATATGCAGCTTCGATAAAGGTACATTTATTTATATGTTGTATCCGATTTGGATTGAACTCACCGCGGATAACTGATTTGGATAACTGATTTGGATAACCGATTTGGATAACCGATTTCGATTTTGGATTTGGATACCCGATTTCAATCCAATCCGATATCTGTATTCGATTGAAACATTATTGCACAGAGTATCATGTTTTTTAAATGCTTTTAATCATTTTCAAGAAATTTCATAGAAGTTCAGCTCTGGCAACCTAGAAAAGTCCGTTAGCACCACGTTTTGCCGAAAAAAAGGCTTTCCTCGATTTTATTCTGGATTCAAAGCAAAATCTATTTATTTAATCACCAGCAACTTTATCATAAACAATAAAATAACAAATTAAGTAAGCAAATTAATGCTTAAATAGAGGAAAGTCTTTTTTTGGCAAAACGTGGTGCTAGCGGACTTTTCTAGGTTGCCAGAGCTGAACTTCTATGAAATTTCTTGAAAATGATTAAAAGCATTTTAAAAACATGATACTCTGTGCAATAATGTTTCAATCGAATACAGATACCCGATTGGATTGAAATCGGGTATCCAAATCGGTTATCCAAATCCAAAATCCAAATCAGATATCGAATCAAAGCCTTAACCTTCTGATTGAGAGAAAGAACTCCTAACCAGTTGACCACGTCGGCAGATCGAACTAGACTTATAAAAGATTAATCTAGGACCCAAACATCATGGCTTTTCAATGCTCGAATGCTCAGTTGAAAAGCTACAAAATTGTGGGAATTTCCCCGGAGGTCGAGGCTGAAAGAAGGGTTTTCGTTGTGGAAGAACAGGGAACAGGTTTGACAAAAAAGAACCTATCGTAAATACTGTAATAGTACCCCACCCCCATAATGACGGCGCGGAGTGTTGCGTAGTCTAGCTTTGAACGAGCTTTTCTCGACACTGGTTTATGCTACAATGTTCGCTTAGGTATCAAAAAATAGCTGAAAATCAGGGCTATTTTTTTGATACCAAAGACGCATTTTTTGAAAGTACGGGTGCTTTGAAAAAAATGAAATACGAGAAAATTTTTGCGACTACGCGACTGTACGGGGGAGAGGATAGGGTATTATTACAGTATTTACGGTAGTTTAAAAAAGACTACCCACCAGGCGCAGCATATCCTTTTCTGAAAGAAATCTCCTCGTGTTTTCGTCCATTCCAAACTGTAATTGCAGGTTTCCGCTATGCGATGAAGTTATTAGAGAAAGGCGAAGAAAGCGATGATGCACATCGATTTTTGCCTACAAATATTCCACATATGACCGAAATGCACAAGTTTTTTCAAACTCAGGTACTTTTTTAAAACTCTTTACATTATGATCTTTCAACATTTTACAGAACTTTATCATCTTACTGATCACTTTTGTGGAAACTGGTCAATTGTGGAGTTTTTTGGTTGTTTTTATTGTTAAATGCGTAAATGAATACTTTCTAGAGTTCATACTTTGAAATTTGTGCGAAAAATTTGCAAGATGAGATCATGAAAGACGCCGAATTAGATGCGAATTCGAATTGGAAAGGGAGAAGCGATGAAAACGATTATCAAGGTCAGTTTTGATAAGAAATCTTAAAGAAAACTTAAAAAAGCTTAAAAAGCTTAAAATGATAGAAGCTGATCATTGTAAGCTCGACAAATTTATAATTGAAATTTGGGACCTTGACGGTTCGGGGGGGGTCGAGTTTTTGACAACTTTGTCGCACATTTTTAAGCAGCGTAACCTTATCAGATCAGGAAGTTTAAATAATATTTAGATAGCTTAGAACATGAGCTTTCAGAAACTATTCGTTTCATTAAAAAGTTATCAACAAAAAACCTATCTAAAATTGTAAAAATCGGGCTGCAAAATTGTGAAAAACTCGACTTCCACGCACCCGGTGACCCTGAAGTTCCTGAAGTTGTCCTGAAATTGCAAATCAAAGAAAACTCAAGAATCGTTATCATCTTTAGGTCGTCATCTTTCGTTTTCGGTCGGCATCGACACGGATCGTTTATCGAGAATGACACAAAGAGAACTTGATGAAACGGTTTGACTATTGAGGGATTTATTTTGGAAAACCTATCATAAGAATATATAGTAGATTGTAGTTAATATTATAGTTAATATTGTAGTTAATATTGTAGTCAATCTTCTAGTCAATATTGTAGTCAATATTATAGTTAATATTGTAGTCAATCTTGTAGTTAATATTGTAGTCAATCTTGTAGTCAATATTCTAGTCAATCTTGTAGTTAATATTGTAGTTAATATTATAGTTAATATTGTAGTTAATATTGTAGTTAATATTATAGTTAATATTGTAGTTAAATCAATCTTATTATCTTATAGTTAACCTTCTAAACCATCTAAATACAAGTTTAAATGTATAAAGTATTTTAATTATTATCTCTAGAGTGACGAAAATCAATCAACATCAGCTACAAGCGAACTTTGCACAATCGGCGTTGAAGCTATTTCGGAAGAGGAAAATCTTAAACAGGTGAACAAATAAAGAACAAATAAAGAACGAATAACAAGATTCAGAGAAAGCAATATGCAAATTAAAGAGCAAATTCAGGATATCAAAGAGATTCTCGTTTTTGGGCCATCAGAAGACGAAGATATCCCTTTTAGGTAAAGCGATTGAAAATCAAAAACGTCTTCTGATATTTTAGAGCTGAAGAAGAAGCTCCTGCTCCATTACGGTTGGCGAAAGATCTGGGATCTTCGAGAAATGGTTAGTTACAAAAAAAATCGTTCTTTTTCACAATTCATTACCTATTTTCTTTTCAGTAATGTCCGGTTTGTGTTCAGCTCTCTCGAATTGCTCCGAATTGTTGTCGAGCCGACAACTCTGGGATTCGCAAAGAGATTTACCGGGTACCATATCCATATTTCTTCTCTAGTTCATTTTTTGTTTCAAATCTTTCAAATCTTTCAAATCTTTCAATTGATCCTTCCACTTTATCCTTACAGAATGTCTGATCATTCATTGGACAGCGCAATTGGTGAGCGCTCTCTATGTTCTGCACACGCACGGAGAATTTATATGGTAATTTTTGAGGAAAGATAAGGAAAATCCATGAATATTTTGTTATAAATGCTTTCAGTGATCTTCAACCATCAAATTTATTGATTGGATCTGATGGAAATCTCATTTTGACAAGTCATGCAGTTTGGAATGGACGAAAACACGGGGAGATTTCTTTCAGAAAAGGATATGCTGCGCCTGGTGGGTGGTCTTTTTTAAAAACTACCGTAAATACTGTAATAATACCCTACCCCCTCCCTCGTACAGTCGCGTGGTCGCAAAAGTTTTTTAGTATTTCATTTTTTTCAAAGCGCCCGTACTTTCAAAAAATGCGTCTTTCGTATCAAAAAATAGCCCTGAATTTTAGCTATTTTTTGATACCTAAGCGAACATTGTAGCATAAACCAGTGTCGAGAAAAGCTCGTTCAAAGTTAGACTACGCAATACTCCGCACCGTCATTATGGGGATGAGGTACTATTACAGTATTTACGGTAATGATTTTTCAGTCATTCTTTATGATTTTAAAAGATATTCAAGTAATCTTACAGAATGCTTTCGATACCCGTTCGAGTTAACAACCGAATGCGACATTTGGAGCTTGGGCGCAATTTTGTACGAGTTGACCACCGGGATTCCGCTCGCCATTGCGGCTCCACATGGTGTTGGTGGGTTTTTTGAAATCGAAAATCTAGAGACGAGAGTCTCAACTCAATTGAGAGAATAACATTTCTTGCGTTATTCTCTCAATTGTTTAAATAACACAATTGTTTAAGTAACACAATGGTTTCACAGGATGTAAAACTTGTGGCAAAATTACAGCCAAATTTAAGGCAAAAATTTTAAGCAAAAATTGATTCTAAAAAGTTGGGCATAATGACGCCCAAAAGGGAGAGGCCGGCTCAGTCGCTCACCGCTCTTTCCCCTTTACGGATTACCAAAAGGGAAGCACTCTCTGGCCGATTTCTGGTTTTTCAAGCACGTGTCGATTTGTCTTTTATACTGGGGCGGTTCTCTAGATGAAGAGCGATTGTGCGCGCGCACAAAGAACACCTCATCAGTCATTTAGAGATTTTTCTTTTGCTTTTTAGATGATACAAAAGGATATTTAGCTGTAAATTTGTACCCGGGGGTTTTCGGGGTCGGCGAATCGATTGGAGAGATTCATTTTATTGAGTATAAAATCTATATCAAGTTGCTTCATTCAGGAAAACCCGGTCTCGACCCGCCATTCCCCAAATTTTGCACAACTTCTCTATTCGCGCGGGATCTCATAAATCGGTGAATTTTCTTGAATAAATATTTCAAAGATTAGAATGAACAATGAAATTTGAAATGAATTTCCAGAATCTTGGTCGAAGATCCAAATGAAAGACTCACTTTGGATGCCATCCGCGCACATCCATTCTTTCAATCAATCAACTGGAATTTATATGACAATCCGCATTCAACGAGGATCATGTAAGGAATAGGAAAACTAATAAAAGAATAGAAAAGAATAAAGAATAGAAATAGTTATCTAATAATAGAAATAGTTATTTATTAGGTTGATGCAAGTCATTTTTTTCCAAAAACCCCCAACCCCCCAAAAAAAAAAAAAAACAAATAAAAAACCCCTTCCCCCTAAATTTTGGACCGAGGCGGGGAAAAAAAACACGCTGGCCATTTAGACGCTTGGGAACCCCCGAAAAAAAAAGGGGGGCACAAAAAGTTAGATATTTTTTCAGATTTTCAGAGAAATTGATTCAGCCAATTTTTTATAGAGGAAAAAATTTTAAGGAAAAACCCGTTTTCACTCTCGAATTTGCTTGAAAGTGAACCCAAATTGACTTAAAAAGATGGGAAATTGAACAATAAACACTTTTCATTTAGAGCAAACCATAGGTTAATTGATGACTTTGTTATTTTTCAAAAGAAGTACGAAAAAAATGAAAAAGACTTTTGCATCAACCTAATAATAATAGAATAATTAGTTATCTAATAAAAGAATAGAGATATTATGTTAGATTTTTAGAAAAGAGACCACATCACCGCGGGCGATCAGCAACAAAATGTAGGTTTATCCATTTTCAACGATTTGCTTGCGTTCAAATTTCATTGTGCAATTTCCAATCACTTTTCAAAATCAAAATCAATTCTAAAATATTTCAGTGACTACTCGAATGATCTTCCGACAAGCTCACAGAGTCAAATTGATGTTTAGTTTTTTTTTCTCTTTTCCCTTCTTGATGAAATCTGGTGCCTGTGCTATTGCTTTTCATTGCTTGCCAAATATTTATGGGTGCTCACAAAAAACAAATTGTGATTCAAGTGCTTCAAATGATCACTTTACTGAGTAAAATTTTATGAAATTAACTTAAAATTTGCATCCAACGTTTTAAATTTAAACCTAATAAATTTAAAATAATTTACGAAAAGCGAAAACAGCGGAACTCGGTATAAAAGCCGAACAAAGTTTCCGATTTCATCATGGAATGAAAGAAAATGAAAAGAATGGCAAAAGGGAATTTTGTGCGGGGTACGGTATTTCTCTATGAGTATTGCTGACTAAAAGAAATGAAAAGAATCGATTAGGGAAATGTGAAAGGGAAAAGGGGAATGGGGAAAGAAGAAAGAGGCGAAAAGCGTTTACGGACCACCCACATAGGTTTTCTGAGTTCACATGGATTTGTGGTTTACCCAAGAAATGATTGGGCAGGGTTTTTTTTATTTAAAATAATTTACGAAAAGCGAGAACAGCGGAACTCGGTATAAAAGCCGAACAAAGTTTCCGATTTCATCATGGAATGAAAGAAAATGAAAAGAATGGCAAAAGGGAATTTTGTGCGGGGTACGGTAGCGCATCCACTCTTTAGAAAGCACATCACGCCGCTTTTGCGACAGTCCCTTAAAACCATAGATCAAATCAATAGGTTAAGCTAAGTTAAGCTAAGCTTTCTGTTCATGTTATGTTCCAAAGTTCGCTACTTACAACATTGTTGAAAATTTGAATCAAAGCTGAATCAAAGCTACGAAAATCTTTAGCATTCAGACTTCAACTCTGATTAAACTCATGTAATGTGTTGATTTTTGGATCTTTAGTTTTCAATTCCAGGTATTTTTTAAATTAAGACCAATTCTCACTAAAACCAAATTAACGGCAGGTGTATAATATAATTTTGAGGAATTTTTATGTAAAGGGTGACCGCGAATTGTAGCGACTCACTTCTTTGGGTCTAGCTCAGCGAGAACTCAATGAATTCGTATGAAATTTTTGGAGGTGATTTTTGAGAATGCCTCCGTTAGCCAAGTTGATTTTCTAACTGATTGGTGCTTCTGGAATCTTGATGTGCCCTTACAAAGTTGAGAGCCGCGCTACACTTGGCGAAAAACCCAATTTGAGGTTTTTAAAAAAATCGTTTTTTCCTTAAAATGTTCTTGTCTAATTTTGTCTAGATTCAGGAAATCACAGTGGTTTTTTTAGATCTCTAACCCAGACAAAGTTATGGGTCAAAAACCTCGAAAAACCCAGTTTTCCATAGAAAATTGGGTTCTCAGATCTTCTCAGAAGAACTAGCCACAAATGATTTTCAGTTTTAGAATCTGGATATTAAATTACCAAAAAGCGTTTTTAGACTTCTTCACTTATCCAGGGAATATTCATTTTCTGAGAGGTGGAGCTATCTCTTTTCCTTATATGCTTTACTTACAGAATCAGTGTTTATGATCATTTTATTAGGTTGGTAAAAAAGAAATGAGCGTCGTGTTTGTTGATTTGTATTTTATTCACAGTAAAAGATTTTTTTAAATAGTTTATTCTATTGGAAAGAGCGTGTTCTTGCGCATCGTTTGATATATAATTTGTCTATGTTTACTTTGTTTTTTTTTTACAAGAAAGAGTGTTTAAAAAATGTCGGACCAAAAATTTCGCTTGCGGGCCTGGGCTTGTGCTATGAATTTAAGCAAGGCAAATCGGCTGCTGAAGCTATTCATTTTCTGAGAGGTGGAGCTATCTCTTTTCCTTATATGCTTTACTTACAGAATCAGTGTTTATGATAATTTTAGTATTCAAATATAACACCTTTTTTTATTTTAAAACTTTTGAAAAAATCTTTTAAAAGAATTTGTTTTTGAGAAATCTATAGGTCTATAAATCTATAATTATGTGGAGAAGTGTAGTTGAAAAAATAATTTCTTTTGAAAGAGTGGGATTGCCTCTTTTGAAGGGATTTTGATAATTGAGGGTGCGAAAAGAGTTTACGGACCTCCCACATAGGTTTTCTGATGGACAAAATGAAAATCTCTATGAGTATTGCTGACTAAAAGAAATGAAGAGAATCGATTAGACATCTTGTGCTCCTTTCACAATATTGTCATATCTTTTCACGACAATTCCCGGTTTTGCCATTTTCGTTGCCGTTGTCGAATAGAGACGACTCGTCGTGATGAATAAAAGACGGAAAGTTGATGGGGAGAGCCTGGAATTTAAGAATTTTTTCAACAAAACTGTTTAAAATCTGAGGTAACAAGAATTTATTCTAAAAAAGGCAATTTCTTCAAAACAACGTTGAAACCGACCTATTGAAACTTGTCCCCGCTGATGAAAAAGCTCTAAAAGTTGATGGAACTTTTAGAGATTTGAGCAGTGACGCAGCAAAAAACGGTATAAACGGAAAATGAAAATGAATGGGAAGAATGCAGAATTATTGGTAGCAGATGGACTTTCGAGTAATTGATTGGAATGGGGGAATTATTGGGTACAGTTTATGAATGGAATGCCAAGATAAACAATTAAGTTCAGACAATTCAGTTAATAACTAACTTCCTTACCTAACACCTTTAGATCTACCAACCCTTTTCTAAAAATGATTTCACACGAAACCCAAGACGAAATAACAAGAAGATCGCGCGGTGGCAGATTGTTCAGATTTGCGTTTTAGTTAAAAGGAATTGGTTAGGTTGAGTGGTACTTTGATGATTTGGAGGGGCCACTTTATGATAATTTTTATGTTTATGATAATTTTATTATTAAAATATAACACCTTTTTTTTTTATTCTAAAACTTTTGTTTTTGAGGAATCTCTAGGTCTGTAAATCTCTAATTATGTGGAGAAGTGTAGTTGAGAAAAACTATTTCTTTTGAAAAAGTGGGATTGGCTCTATTTGCAGGGATTTTGTTAATTAAGGGGGCGAGAAGCGTTACGGACCACCCACATAGGTTTTCTGATGGACAAAATGAGAATCTCTGAGTATTGCAGACTAAAAGAAATGAAGGGAAAGCCAGGTGAATTGATTAGAGAAATGTGAGAGGGAAAAGGGGAATGGGGAAAGAAGAAAGAGGCATTCAGGCCAAAGCATGCTTTAAGTTGAAAACACTAAAATTATTTGGAGATTCTCATGGAGTGCTTGAGTTCTTTCCTCTTGACTAAAATTTGTTCTGAATACCTGAACGACTTTTATTTCGAAATTTCGAATCAGGGGGCTCTTTCTACGTTTAAGCTTTCATCTGTTTGCAAATTTAAAGCGAAATCTGTTTCAAATCTTTTATGGATTTAAAATTTCATTTTTCACTTTTCGAAATCAAAATCAATTCTAAAATATTTGAGAGATTACTTGAATGATCAGCTTCACAAGCTCACAGAGTCAAATTGATGCTTCTCTTTCCTTCCTTTTGTTTCAAATTGTAATTCCAGTGCTTCAAATGTCGAAAGAGATTATTTATACAAACTAGAGCTCAAGAGACGATTTCGAATTTACAGTAGACTTCGGCAAACAAAACCAAAACCAAAACAGACCAAAACCAAAACCAAAACCAAAACCAAAACCAAAACACCAAAACAAACCAAAACCAAAACAAACCAAAACCAAAACAAACCAAAACAAACCAAAACTCAATTTATAAATTAACATGTAAATTTAAAATTGTAAAATGCAAATTTTAATGTAAAATGCAAATTTGCCTTTCACTTTTTCTCACTCCCCAAAATCTCGCGGCCGAAAAAAGGACCAAAACACGACCTCGAAATTTCGAAACAAAAAATAGCCTATGGGATAGATTTTTGGATGCTGATTTCAAATCTGCAAACAGATTTTCGCTAGCTCCTCCCAGTCGCGAGATATTGGCGAGTTTTGGTTAGTTTTGGTTTTGGTTTTGGTTTTGGTTTTGGTTTTGGTTTGTTTTAGTTTTGGTTTTGTTATGGTTTTGGTTTTGGTAGCTTTGGTTTTGGTTAAGTTTTGTTTTCCGAAGTCTAATTTACAGTACTATTAAATGAAAAAACAATCATTTCTTTTTATGACATTTCTGTTAAACTTTTGTGACTTTCTCAAGGTGTCGTATCGTTTTTGAAAAATCTTTCTTTTCTAGAAAACGAAAATGATTGTCATCTACGCGTTTCTTGGGTTCTTCGTGGGAATCTCGTCGCAAGAAAATGGTGATTTTTTTGAAATTTTTCTGTTCTTTAAAATGTGTTCTTTCAGCAAGCATTGTGCAATTGTTTAATACCTATAGTACTCCTAGAAACGGTAATGATACAATATTCTTATCGAAGTAAAGTAGCTTTTTTCTAAAGCGGACTTTTTATTGAGTTGGCTAGTATGAAATGGCGACATTTTCGGACGAACTTTTGAAAAAAAAAAAATTAAACCATAACTTTATCTCAAATTTTGTTTGTCTAATAACAATTGAAGTTTTGTTGATTATACGCTAAAATTTTATCTGAATCTGATGCAGAGTTTTTTAAGAAATGAGAGAAGATGTGGTAAAAAGTCGATTTTTGGTTAATCCAGCTAAAAATCCCTTAAAATCCAGCTAAAAATTTGCAACAACTTGCTAGATTCAAAAACCATTTAAGCAAATATGTTTATACAAATTATTTGTACAATTTTTTAACCAAAATAAACATTCTCCCTCTCGGAATCGTTGAAACCAAGTCTGACACTGCCTGAGAGACAAACTGCCATCTCCGAAAGCAGCACAGAGAGAATGATGCGTTCCAGTAATTCAAAGTACACCAAACCCTTGCTGTTCCACCATTTAGTCAATAAGATCTTCTTCCCGTGGATTTCGAGCCTTGGGCAACCCCAAGGCTCGAAATCCACGGGAACAGCACGTTCGCCGGCGCTCAGCCACTGTCGTTCTCGCGTAAAGTTGTCGTATGCGATCCATTTCCCATCCGATGTCACGATAGAATCAAGAAATCCGCTATTTTTTGCACGATTCAGGAGAATGCCAGCGATGGAAATGCGGGATGCGAGGTTAGCATCACTGAGTTGATGAGGGATCCATCTTCCACAACGACTTTTCTTTCCAATGGCGTGAAGGTGGCGTTCGATGGTGACATGATCACAATGGAATATTTTCGCAAGATCTCGAGCAGATTGGCATGGATCGGCCTGAATAACGTCCCTCAGCTTGGCTTCGTTCACGAATCTTTGTTCGTTCTGGCCTCGAACCGTGCTCGTAATCTTTCAAAGTCTCGTCTCCCTCTCGGAATCGTTGAAACCAAGTCTGACACTGCCTGAGAGACAAACTGACATCTCCGAAAGCAGCACAGAGAGAACGATGCGATTCGGCAGCAGACTTTCCAATTTTGAAGTTAAACAGTGATGCTGCTCGTAGCAGAAACTTTTGCTCGACCATGATCTAAATAAAAAATATAAGCATTTTTAAATAAAATAAACAACAACCAAAAAATTCAAATGTCGAAATAAATAGCAAACAAATATGCGAACAAAACATAAAAAAAATAATGCCGTTAGCATCGCTCGTTTCTGATAAATGAGAGCTGATACCCATCGGCAGTTTCTTTTGCACCACCCTGATAGATCCACCTTTTTTCAATCTTTAATTTTATTATTGAAATTCATTTTATAAAATAACCGTTTTAATTGGATGCTAGTTGAGTATTTTTGTTACAAAAATCGTCACATTAAGTGGTAGGCGAAGCGAAGCGCGCACTACCGGGAACGTAGTTCGGGGTGGGGGCACATTCTTAATATACGGGCAACGGAGTTGGGGCGGGTGGGCAAAAGATTTGCATTTAAAAAAATAGCTTTTCTTCAAAAAAGCCTTACCCCTAAGTATTTCAGTACAGTGCGGCTTTCTTTTCTTTTTTTTCAACCAAATAAAAATCTGAAACGTAGGGGGACATGTTTTTACCGTGTGCCAGAAGATGAGAGTTTCGCCTGTGGTACCTAACCCCCAGGGTACGCACCAAGGCAGGTACCTAACCTTAGAAATTGACTTTTTAGCACATCCATTATCATTTCTTAAAAAACTCTGCATCAGATTAAGATAAAATTTTAGCGTATAAACAACAAAAATTTAATTGTTATTAGACAAACAAAATTTGAGATAAAGTTTTGGTCTAATTTTTTTTTAAAAATTTTGTCCGAAGACGACGCCATTTAATACTCGCCAACCCAATAGAAATCATTTTGGTTCTAATTATATTAGGTTATCATATATAAAATGTCCAACACTTTGTCGTGCCCGTCAATTTTCATTTCACCGTAGATTTCTTTCATTTTTTTGATATTATTTAGTAGGAGTATGAAACTTGAAATTTGAAAAAAGAAATTCGAAAATTTGGGCCAATGCATCGGCTGAGAATGGTCAACACAAAAAAACCACAAACTTTTATGACCATAAAATTCGTCCGCCACCATGAAGGAGCAAAATCCGAGCACATTTTGATTTAACATATTCGATATGACCCACCCCACCGGCTTGGTCGTACTGATTTTTGGTGTCAACTCGTTTTCAAGAATTGTTTGTTTGTTGTTATTCATTTCGCGGAAAATTTTGCTAACTTTATACTAATTTTGAAGAGGAGATTCAGGGCAATGACTGTCATTCAATTTCCAATGCAATCAATCATTCAATCACTATAATATTAGCTTAGTGTATGAGCTAAAGTGATTTGGGGCGACGTTGGAAAGAAGTTATTAATGCTTGTGGTGAATACATTTCAGCTCGGCAAAGATGGATGACCAAAAATTTAAAATCAGGCCTGCCCAGATCTAGTCCCATCGGATTGCCACCTCTTTCGGAACAAGCGGTTTCTATGAAACAAGCAGTTTCTGGACAGCAGTTCAAACAAAAGCAGGACATCGAAAATTGGGTTGCCAACTATTTTGCCTCTAAAAATCTTCAATTTTACGAGGACGGCATTCGGCATGGAAAGAAGGCAACGTTCCAAGGTCGGGGCGACGTTGGAAAGAAGTTATTAATGCTTGTGGTGAATACATTTGATTTTGAAAGTGTTTAAATAAATTTTTCTGTTATGTTAAAAATGATCAAAAAAAATAACCTTTCATATTAACCAAGCTAATACAATTTGGAAACATTCTATGAAATTTGTGACCAAGTAGGCGCTATAATGCTAAATTGATACGGATCTACAACTGTAATTGAAGAGCTGAGTTGAATTTTTCCATTCCGGGATGAAATTTTTCAATCTCCGGAAAACCCTGAGCTAAGAGACTGGGATTTTATTGTATTTTTTCTTTCCAGACGGTTGTCAAGCTGATGAAGTTCCGTGTCGATTGGATGATGTGATGAAATGTTTCAGTCTCAGCGACATTCAAAGTATCACCGACAAAGAACAATGCCATTGTAAGGAATTCTAATAGACGTGATTTTCATATTTTTAGTTCAAAACGATCACCAAACTCGCAACGATTCATCACCGGAAAAGGGGCTCAGGTACCAAATTCTTCATTTTCATCATCTCTTTTTTTAGTAGTCGAGAGATTCTGGAGAACGGCGCCATGACGTTTATTTGCGTCTTTTTGTGGCGTGAGAATTTGAAACGATTTCCTAAACCTTTTCAAATTTAGTCGCATTTCTCGGTATGTATTACTCATACTGTGAATGGAATTGGAAAAAGGATCTAGAAAGGCAAAAGGCAATGAGAGAGCGCACTGAATGTGGGTTCAGATTGAGCTTTGAAACTTTTTATTTTATTTCATTTTATTAAATTTCATTTTTTCAGGTTTCTCCCTCGGTTCCCTAGCTTCTGATCCTTCTCCTAGCGGATTGGTGAGTCATTTTTCACTAAAGAAATTCAATTAAATCAATTTAAATTCAATTAAATCAATTTAAATTCAATTAAATCCATTTTAAATTCAATTAAATCAATTTAAATTCAATTAAATCCATTTTAAATTCAATTAAATCAATTAAATCAATTTTTAGAATGAAAATGTGTCAAAAGTGTGATCGAATGCTTCATTTTTATCGATTTTCTGTATGGGATAACCGATTTTTTGGTTTTTTTTTTGTTTTTTTGTATCGATTTTTGAAGATTTAAAATCTGTTGCTGCCTAACTTTTTTCTGAATCACAGCAAAGAAAAATCAGTTCCAAATGCATTCAAAAGACCAATTGCACTGACAAAAAAGCAACTTTTCTTATAAAGTGACGTCATCATTTAAAAGTTGAGCTAAAATAACTTGAGCCTGAGCCCAGTATGTCTCCTTTTCATCTTTGATATGTCTCAAAATTGAAGAGATTTTTCGTTGAGATGCGAGAGGTGAAAAGGCATCAGCCACTCACTAAAAGCTCTCCAATCCTAATTTCATTCATTATTTTCTCACCATTCTTGTACATTTCTTTTTTATATCAACAAAATATTGAGCTTAAAGAATCTTAAAGAATGAAAGAATCAAAACATTAATGAAAATTCTCTTTGCTGAATTGTTTGAAATATTTTGAATCATGCGGTAAATTATTGGGTTAGTAAATTGAAAAATGCCGGCTATGCTTAGGCTTAGGCTTAGGCTCAGGCTCAAATTCAGTCAATCAATGATTTATGCTTCTATTGGGTTGGTGAATTGAAAACTGCGGGCTATTGTCATCTGTGACAGTTTGAGCACTTTCTTCAAAAGAAACCCATTTTGGTGTCAATGGAAAAGTTGTAGAGAAGCAAAAATCAAGCTTATATCCAGATTTTCAGAACGATTCAAAAACTGGTTTTCAAGAAATGCCAAATTTACGAATTTTCACAAAACTTGCATTTTAAGCGAAACTACTAAGTGTATCTTTTTGGAAATTTGGCTATAAGCCTCATTTTTGATTCTCTACAACTTTTCTATTAACACCAAAATGGGTTTCTTTTGAAGAAAGTGCTCAAACTGGGATATCTCCAGTCCTCGATTTTTGAGTCTCACACTTGTCTCACACACAAACCAAAATCCTACCACGAAAGAGGAATCCGCAAATCCGCAAATTGCCTGTAAAATGGGCAGAAGTCGTCAATGATAATGGAAATTATTTGGAATGAATTCATGGTTTTATGTTCAAGAAATTTTAGCTCAAAGTCCCGCAGTTTTCAATTGACCAACTCAATAGAATCCGTCAATCGAATATCTTGAAACGAACAAACGAATTTAACTTTACTGTGGAAATTTGATGACATTAAAGCAATGAAACAAAACTTTTTTTGTCTTCAGGCTTCTCTTCTTCTTCTTTTCTTCGTCTTCATTCTTTTTCGTCTTCGAAAAATAGCCCTGATTTTCAGCTACTTTTTGATACCTAAACCAACATTGTAGCATAAACCAGTGCCGAGAAACACTCGTTTAAAGCTAAACTATGCAACACTCCGCACCGTCATTATTGACATTAAAGCAATGAAACAAAACGTTTTTTGTCTTGAGGCTTCTCTTCTTCTTCTTTTCTTCGTCTTCATCCTTTTTCGTCTTCGTGCTTTGTTCCTCAGACACTGTGATTTTCATATCATCCAATTAATTTTTCCCATTGCGTGCCAATCAAACATTTTTCAACACAGAAACAATGAAATCCCGTCAATTAACCGAATTTTGGATAATATTTTGACACGAAAGAATAAAGATTTTCGATTATTCTCTATTCAGAGAAATTCTTCCTTAAAACTTTTTCCAGATTGATGTCTCAAAACTTGTTTACTTCCGAGGTTTTTCTTCGCATTTAACTCAAATTCTCTTGGGATTTTTTATCTCAATGGCAATCCTCTCTTTTCTTCTCTCATTTGACCTCGGTCAAAAAGTATCTGGTGTTTTTTTGAGTGTGACCTATTGAACTCAACCTATTGAATTCATAAAGAGTTGACTGGATATTCATTTAGCATTCAGTTTCATTTTTTGTTTTATTTCATTCACGCATTGTAGACTTTGTAGAAAATTATAGCTGAATTTAGGGTAAAAATTAATTTCAAAATTTGGGGATAGTCAGAGCCCAGGAAAGCGGCAAAACCAGATCATTTGCTTTGAACCAGACCATTCATCTACGGCAGTCATTTGACTTCATTAATCGTTTTCGGATATTTTTCACAATTTGACGTTTTTTTCGAGAAGTTAGCTTCAGTTTTGAGCCAATTTGACGTCTAGAAGACGAAAGTCATTTTTTTGAAGATACCGACGAAGCACCCGATCATTACGACCCGAAATACCCTCAATTTCTTCCTGTCTTCCCATCTGAAAGGAAAGCACTTTACACTAGGGCCCTATGCCAGATAAAGAGCGATTGTGCGCCCGCACAAAGGACAGTCATTTAACGTTTTGCGTTTGCTTTGTAGATTTTGCAAAAAGCTATTCAGCTGTAAATTTGTACTCGGGGGTTTTCGGGGTCAGTGAATCGATTGGAGTGATTCATTTTATATCCAAATATCTTTTTATACAGGACCCGAGACCCAGTGTTGATTAAAATAGTGGAAAAAGTGAATTCCAATTTGCCTAGACACTTGATCTACTATTCAGAGACTTTCAAAACACTCGCCCAAACCTGAGCCGAACCTCGAGTTCTCTTCTCCCTTTTTTTATCCAGAATATCCATCAATTTTCACCTATCTTTTCCCCTTCGTCTCCCAATATATTCGAGAAGTTGAATATCCAGTTTCACACTTCTTTCCCCTTCTATATCTGACACGAAGCTTATCCTTTTTTTGGCTTTTCCCTTTCGTTTCTCATATGATGAAGATCTTTTGCTCAATTTTGGCCACATTTGTGACTATTTTTAGAAAATTTTCAATAGACGAGGGAATATTTTATCTCTGAATCGAACTTCAAATCTTTTATGCCTCATTCTGCTTCTAAGCATAAGCTAAAGCATAAGCTAAAGCTTAAGCTAAAGCATAAGCTAAAGCTTAAGCTAAAGCATAAGCTAAAGCTTAAGCTAAAGCATAAGCTAAAGCTTAAGCTAAAGCATAAGCTAAAGCATAAGCTAAAGCATTGTAAACCTCTTTTTCTAAGCTTTTGTAAGTTATTATTCTAAAATTATAAGATTGCAGATTTAATATTTTATATGTAATGAAATTTCAATCATTTTAAAAGCTTCTTTAGCGATTTTACCGATTTTCTTTTTAGCCTAATCACCTCCAATTCAAAATTTGCGTTTTTTTTTTTGAAAAATTCACCTTTGATTCATAATTTCTCATTTTTTTCGGAGAATTACGTTTTATTGAATTTCGTGGGATGATTTTTGAGTGTTGATCCTTGGAAAATAAGACTTATGAAATAGATAAAATGAATCAAAATGAGAATAATCTGTGAATCTATTTGCTTACAATTATTCGAGTCGATTTCTCTTTCCCACTGGGTTATTCAAAACTCAAAAAGAACTTATTTCATCAAAAAGAATTTGAATGTATTGACTTGTTATTGAAAAGAGAAAAAAAATGGGAAAAAGAATGGCTCATTGGTAGTCGGAATGAAAGAAAAACTTTAGTCGTATCCATCGACTCGCATAAATTCCTTGTTTTTATTGGGGAAATTCAAATGATTATTTAGAAATGTACAAATATTGAAGTGAATAGATCATAAACTAATTTATCTTATTGCCTAAATATTTTTAAATGTGTCGAATAGCCACTAAAAAGTTACCTAACTCTGGCAGCTATCTGACCGCAGACAATTGGAAAAGTATTGCGGAAATCCGTGCGCTTCATTCTATTTCTTCATTCCCCAAATCATTTATTGTTTTGTAGCTTGTTAGCTGAATATCTTGTGTTAAAGCCTATATAAGACAACTGTTGTTCTGACAATTTGACAATTTGATTCTAGACAATTCTAGACAATTTGATGTTTTTTTGACTTTTTTCTGCTTTCCTTTCATCATGTGAGAGTTGTGTCCTAATTAGGACGAAATGTTTTCAGTTTTTATCGTCGCTTTTAATTCAATTGTCGATTTTGAAGTGATCAAAGAAGTCACAAAGATACTCAAGAATCATCAGAGGACTCGGGCACACCTCTTTGACAGCACCGTCCTCCCGGCACTCTGCTACGGGGGGCTACGACCTGGGCCACGACACAGACCACCGAACGAGCCCTGAGCACGACGCATCGAGCCCTTGAAAGGAACCTCCTCGGGCGCAATAGGAAGACGCAGCTGGACCAAGACCTAAGAAGTACGGATATGCGCTATCTCTCGGGATCCAGTGGAAGTGATCGAGAGAAAAAGACTCAGATGGGCTGGCCACGTAGCCAGAAGAACAGACGACAGATGGACGATACGGATCACAGAGTGGATACCACGAGACCAGAAGAGGCCCATCGGAAGACCAGCAACGAAGTGTTTTTATCGTCGCTTTTAATTCAATTGTCGATTTTGTGTGAAAATTGCTAAGGAAAATTGCTGCCAAAAATTCCGAGTCAGTCGGCTATTGAATAAAGTGTTTTAGTTCAAGTGAGATCAGATAACTCGAAACAAGAAATAACATGTCTTGAGTCAAGAGTACCAAGCACGCGAACAATATTTCTTTATATTAAAATTCAGAAAACGATAAGATGTTAGTATTAGTAAGTTCAAGCCAAATTATGATAAAGAACACAAGCTTTTCTTTTCTTTTCTTTTCTTTCTCTAAA